ATGTGTTAGGAACTGGCAAAACCAATTATGACATTGAAGATTATAAATTTGGATGAGTTGAATGATGGCATAATTATAAGGAGTATTTTAAAGAATGAGATACATTGAGAGGAATTAGCTTGCTTTTTGTTTTGTTTACTATCTTGAGTAACAGTGAGAGCAGAAAATCCAGGTGGACATGTTTTACTGAAGCAGCTAGAATTGGGACTCATGAGAGGCAGAACTGAGGAAACAGATTTGGGAATTATCCTCCCAGGGATAAGACATGTGAGAATGCTGAGTGATAAACATGGAAGTGTTTACTTGGTGTTTAACTACATTTAAAAAATTAGAGGAGAAAAATGAAGAGAATTAAGCCTCATTTTGTGGAAACAAAGGCTGCCCAAGAGCCAGCTACAATAAATACATAAGAAAAAGAACAAAGATTGAAAAAAGGCAGCTTGATTGAACAATCAGAAAGTTGTGGCAAAAGCTGCTCAAGAGCCAGCTGCAATAAATAAGAAAAAGAACAAAGATTAAAAAAGGTAACTTGATTAAACAATCAGAAAATTGTAAGTAACTTTTAGGGCAGTAATGGTTTAAACTGGATTACAAGGGCTTAAAAAGTGAGTAATGAGTACTCAATACTAAACAGCTTAAAAATTCTTTTTTTTTTTTTGAGACAGAGTCTCACTGTGTAGCCCTGGCTAGAGTGCAGTGGCGTCAGCATAGCTCACAGCAACCTCAAACTTCTGGGCTCAAGCAATCCTTCTGTCTCAGCCTCCCAAGTAGCTGGGACTACAGGCATATGCCACCATGCCCGGCTACCTTTTTCTATATATATTTTTAGTTGGCCAATTAATTTCTTTCTGTTTTTAGTAGAGACGGTGCCTCACTCTTGCTCAGGCTGGTTTTGAAGTCCTGACCTCGAGCGATCCGCCCGCCTCGGTCTCCCAGAGTGCTAGGATTACAGGTATGAACCACCACACCTGGCCTAAAAATTCTTATTAGGAACTGCCTTATGAAATGGGTCTAATAACCCACCTTATACTATACTTAATTAGCACAGGAAGTGTTAAGAACTGTAATGGAAAAGCACATAGACTCAGTGGAGAGACAGCTATGAATCAAAGGCCTGGCTCAATTGTATGTCAGCTTTGTGACCAGAACAGTTTAACTCCCTCCGAATAAGAGAGGGATTCAACATTTACCTATTATGAGGATTAAATACAACAATGGCATACATGTGTCTCTTGATTCTTTCCCAAAACTATGAAGATAAGGAAATTTAGGTTCAAGATGTTGATAGGTGCCCAAAGACCACACTGTCCTTTAGTGCCAGGACCAAGGCTACAATTGGTCTTTCATTCTCTAACATACTCCAAAATCTGCATTAAAATTTCAAATTTATAATGCCCTGATAAATATTTTTGGTTCTTAAAGAACCATCTGTTTGTTCAAATTGGGTGTGCATGTTGTTTTAATGTACAAAGTTTGATTGGTAAACTGTAACCACTACTTCAATTCATAGTTCTTCATTGTCAAGAGACTTAATCGGAGCATCTTTCTACAACCCTAATTCTTCAGTGTACTACCAAGCAAAAGCATCACTTAAGATAAAGCTAGTAATTAAGAAAAAAAGGCCATGCAAGAATACATGTATTAAAAGGTCCCTGAGTATTTTTTTTTCTGAGCTTAAGCTAAACGGTTTTCTTTTTTTTAAAGCACTGATCAACGAAATTAAGTCTGGCAAACCAATCCCACTTTACTTCTACTTGAAACAACAGAAAATAATCAAGTTGGTTGATCAGACGTTTCGGCTACAGACACAAGTATGCATTGAACACGGACCAAATAATCTTAACTTTTAATCTCAGATGCTAGACCTCTCCCCTCGCCTGCTGTGGCATAACATGTTTAGACGCTACGAAAAGGAAAACTACGTTTTTAAAGGTCTTCCACAGAGCAGAAGCTATATGTCAATTTCTACTCTGCTGTCTCACTGCAGCAAGGAGCAGGCTGTCCACAGAAAGAGTGTTCTCAATGGCCCGGCTATAAGGCGATGCCCTAAAAACCAAGGCTGTACTCCAATCAGCAGGCGAACCCGAGCAAGGCGGGCAAGACGAGGGGAACACAACCGAGAGGGGACGGCACGGAGGCCCGAGGGGGACAGGGCAGCGCCTTTCCCGCCGTAACCCATCGGCTCAAGCAGAGAGGTGGGAGGGCGAAAGCGAAAGCAGCGGCTCCCAGGGACTTTTACCCTCCGTTGAAAGCGTAGGGCGAAAAGCGCAGTTGCAAAGAGCCCGCAGCGCTGTGCGGCTCCATCCACTGCATCCACTGGTCTCTGCCGGGACCCGAGTAAGCCGCTGCAGAGGACAGCATCGCGCAGCTGTGGTTGAGTCTCCTGCTGTCTCACGGCGAGATGGCGGCTCGGCCGGACGTGGCGCCACTTCCGGCTCCCCCCCACCTCCCCCCGGCCTCTCTATCTCGCACTCGTCGTTGCTCCTGGAGGTCAGCGCCCCCGCCTGGCCGGTTGCTATCCAGAAAGCTGACAGAGATGCAAAGGGTTCTTTCCCTAAGAAAGCACTGATACTCCTGATGGACAAAAATTTTAAAGTTTGACCATACCAAAAATTGACAAAACTATTAGAGCCGCAGAAACTCTAGTACCCTATTGGTAGGAGTGTCAATTAGTACAACATTTTGAAAAGGAACTGGCATCATCTGGCAAAGTCGAACATGTACATACCTTATGACCCAGCAATTCCACCCGTGGGTTTATACTCTACCCAGAAGACATGCACGAGAATGTCCACAGAGCATTGTTATTAATGTACTCAAACTGGAAATGAGCCAAATGCCCACAAACAGCAGAAAGGATAAATTAATTCAGTTATAGTCATACAATGGAATATTCCATAGCAAAGAAAATTAACCAACTACAGCTAGCTAGGAGACACAGGGAGGCTACATCAACACGGATGAGTCTTATAAACATAAGGTTGAGCAAAAGAATACATACTACATAACTTAGGGGTATACAATGGCAATGGATAAGAATCCAAACTGTAAAATAACCTAAAGAGGGTTTATTCTGAGCCGAATATGTGCAACCATGGCCCAGAGAGCGACACCCAAGAAGACTTGAGCAAGTGGTCTCACTATTGCTGGGTCACAGTTGATTTTATACATTTCAGGGAGGCAGGAGTTACATGCAAAGTCATAAATCAATACATGGAAGGCTTACATTGGTTTGGCTCAAAAGGCAGAACATCTTGAAGCAGGACATTACAGGTTATAGGTGGGTTTAAAGATGCTTTGATCTGTAATCAGTTAAAGAAATGAACCTTTGTCTAAAAGCTTGGCATGTTTTAAGTCAAGGAAGTGTGTTAATCAGAGACAAGCCACCGGTCATAGACTCAGACTCAAGTGATCTGCTAAGTAAATTGGTGACTTGCAGGGGTGGTTTAAGTTTTGCCTTGCACAGCCGTAGGCCACTTAATGAGTTCCAAAGGATAACTACAAGAAGGGCGGGGGGCATGATGAGGCATGGCTGACCTCCCTTCTCATGGCTATCAACTCAGTTTTAGGAGGGGCTCCATTCGGTCAGCAGGTGGGGACGAGCCTTAAGATTTTATGTTAGTTCACAGTACTTATTCAACTCTCTCCATAGGTTAACACAGTGCAAGATACTGTCCGGGATACAAAAAAGTATATAATATTTCTTATCCTTAAGAAGCTCACGGCCAGGCACAGTGGCTCACGCCTGTAATCCTAGCACTCTGGGAGGCCAAGGAAGGAGGATCGCACAAGGTCAGGAGTTCAAAACCAGCTTGAGCAAGAGTGAGACCCCCGTCTCTACCCAAAAAATAGAAAGAAATTAATTGGCCAACTAAAAATACATAGAAAAAAAATTAGCCGTGCATGGTGGTGCATGCCTGTAGTCCCAGCTACTCGGGAGACTCAGACAGAAGGATTGCTTGAGCCCAGGAGTTTGAGGTTGTTGTGAGCTAGGCTGACGCCAAGGCACTCTAGCCTGGGTGGGCAACAGAGTGAGACTGTGTCTCAAAAAAAACCAAAAACGAACAGACAAAAAAGAAGCTCACAACCTCACTGATAATGCAAAATACAAATGAAACAAACAGCACAACACATGACTATGACTACATGAACCATAGAAGGGAGAGATCAAGGCTTGCTAGAGTCCAGTCAAGCACCAGGAAGCGGACTAAGAACTACAGATAGTGTCTGTGACGAAAGTGGCAACACTAACATAAATGAATCTATACACACAGGCCATTTGTTTTTGTTTTTTCTTTTCATTCTGCATGCTTGAAGATCGGCTAACAACATTCATTGCTAACATGATAAGGAATACTGGCTACCCCATGCCAGGCAGTGCTCATGCATTTACTTCATCAATCTCCCAACATCCCTAAGGTGTAAGCACTATTATTATTCTCATTCAATTTTACGGTAGAAACCGCAGCTGAATTGTCAGATAACTTGCCAAACCGCTGGTTGGTTAAAAAAAAAAATCAATATTTAAAAATCATCGTCTCGCCTACGTCCTCAAAGAACCAATTAGAAAAGGCTATGGCAAGGCGGCCCCGCCCGGGAAATCCTGAAGAGCTAGGTCCCTGGTTTCCCATAATCCAAGCGCCTAGGGAAATACAGGAAGCGACTACGCGCCAACACTTCCTATGGCTGCGGCTTCAGGGCAGGCAACCTGCTGAAGCCCAATGCACAACTGGCGGAAGTGACATTATCAATATGCGCCAGGAGTTCAGTGGGGTCGGACAGGGTCGCCGTGGCGGGCGCCTGGGCCGCCTGCAGTTTAACTTCGCTTCCTCCCGCCAGTGGTGGTCTCGGTAGTGACTCCAGGTAACGACTCCTTTAGGTTTTCCTCTTTTCTGAGGCCCGAGGCAGAGGCGGCCACTGCAGCGCGGCCTGGAGGCGCTGACGGGAGGAGACGCGGAGTGGTCGCGCAGGCCCCGCGGGGAACGTTCCTCCGCTCGTGCGGCCGCCGCTGCGGCCTGTACCCGCTGTTGCGGCCTGTACCGGCGGTTGGGCCGCAGCTCCCGCCGGTGCCCTGCGCTGCTGCGGTTTGAAGGGGGCTTTCCGTCCTAGAAGTGTAGGGTCCAGGGCGCTTGGAGCGGCCGGGACAGGACAGTCTGGCGCATCCAAGACCCGGAGTTTCCCCTGCCTTGTCCTGCCACCTGCTTCTCCATGTTAGAAAGCAGATTCACCCAGGCCTGCACCCGCCTGTTTTGCTGCCAACAAGGGTAGTTTTATTATAAAGGTGTGCTTGCGACTTTTAAACATTTTGTCAAAAACCTGAGGCTTCTGGCACGGTAGCAGTGAAGACACACTTATTTACAAGGCCTCCATCTCTAGGCTCACATCAGTGTGGCTTTCCAAAACTCTAGGTAGGTTTTTCTGTGAAAGATTATGCTTCATTGAATTGTGCCGACAATAGAAGGCTATGCAGAGTGAATTTGATGCTTCAATTTCCAAGAGGTGAAGACACTCTGAAAACAACTCTCTTTTCTGAGGATAAGTTAGTTTGGTAATCACTGATGAGATTTTATGATATAGGTGAGGAAAGGTGGTCTGTGCCATTGGTGGGAGTGAGAAATGAGCTCAGAATAGCCTGACATAAGGCCCCGACTTGATGTAAACCCAGCCAGATTTCTTCTGTAGACTCAGAGTTTGCAAAAAGTTGTCTGGTGCCTCTAAAAGGTCTGATAAATCTTTAATCATAATTATGAATGCTTTATATTCTCCCCTCTTTATCTCTTGCTTCAACAATAGTAGTGACCCCTTAAATTGATCTTCCAGTTTTACTCCTCTCAAATTCACGTACAGTATTTCTAAATTAGATCTATTTGTGCTGCACTTTATTGCCTATGCAATAACATCTAAAACTCCTGATAATATAACCCCACCTGTATGTGCTGTCTCATCTCCTGCAGTTATCTTTCATATAATCATACTAAGCATGTCACTTGCATACTGCATGCTCTTTCAATCTTTGACTCTTTGTGCTTGATTTCTCTTTTTGCCTGAAGCTCTGATTTGTGAATTCCTACTCACCTTGTTAGACCCAAGTTAGCTGGATCTAACCTCCTTTGTGAAAACAGTCTTGTCTTCTCTTCAGAGTAGTTGGCCATTAGTCTATATTCTCTTAGTATGTGTGCATTCATACTACGATCACATACTATATGTAAGGCATGGTGCTAGGTCCCAAAGATATGTATTCTGTTTTCTTAAAGAGCTTAGCTTACGCCAGGTGCAGTGGCTCATGCCTGTAAACCTAGCACTCTGGGAGGCCAAGGTGGGCGGATCGCTCAAGTTCAGGAGGTCAAAACCAGCCCTAGCAAGAGCTAGACCCCATCTCTACTAAAAATAGAAATAAATTAATTGCCCAACTAAAGATATATAGAAAAAAATTAGCCGGGCAAGGTGGCACGTGCCTGTAGTCCCAGCTACGCAGGAGGCTGAGGCAGTAGGATCGCTTGAACCCAGGAGTTTGAGGTTGCTTTGAGCTAGGTTGATGCCATGGCACTCTAGCCTGGGCAACAGAATGAGACTCTGACTCAAAAAAAAAAAAAAAAAAAAAAAGAGCTTAGCTTAGTGCTTACCTGCTATTATAGCACTTACCTTGTTTCATATTACTTATTTGCATACTCTTCAGTTGAACTCTTAGATGCCTTTTCATCTTCTTATCTGCATCACTTCTATTGTTATAGAATGTCAAATATAATTTTCTTATGTCTGTGATATATTTGCAGAAGCAGAGCTTTTCTTTTTTTTTTTTTTTGGTCTGTGTTTTAGTGATAAGTACATAGGATAGATAGTCTTTGAGGTCTTTTGCCCTCTCAGAATGATTTCTGATTCTTCCATTCATTCAGCAAATATCTGAGTACTATGTACTGGCACATGCTTGAAGTGTATCTGCATCTTTGGTCATATGACTTGTAACTTCAAGATCTGTAAATTATATGTGAGAGTATTTTATTAGGTTATAATAAATGTTTGAAGTGAAATCAATAATAGCTAATATCCGTCCTATACTTGCTATATAATAACTAGACACTGTTCTTGTTGTGTTAACTCAATCACTGATCCTATGTTGATTCAATCAGTTCTCACAGCAACCCTGAGCAAGTATGGGTCTGTCTGAACTGAACAAAAGGTCTTTCAGCAGTCTCTTGGTTGTTTCAAGGGAAAGTAATTTCAGATGTGTACCCAGTAAAGAGATGGTGATTTAAGAAAAGCCTAATACAGACACAATTTGCATTGATATGTTCTAAAGAGGTAAGGTCGTTACATTTATAAAAATACAATGTTTTATTTATTGTGTATCTGTATGGCTTCTTTCACAGTCTTTCATGATAGCAGGAGTTCAAGAAATGATCACACTAAAGCATATTGGGTTCAATTCAATATTCATTAAAATTTATGCCCAAGACATAGTGGTGGCTATAAAATTGAATGGAATATTTAAAAACCTGAAATTGGCCTAATAGTACTGTGTATACAGAGCTTAATAAGTGCTCTGATATTACAGTTTGCTTAGGAATTCATTTTCTCTAGATGTTTTCCTGCAAAAGTTTTTAAAGCAGGTTGTGACACCTTAATTTTGAGTATTATCTGAGTATTTAATTTGAACATGTAACAAAACAATTTTTGTTTTTTTGGCAATTTTGCCTGAAATCACAGGAAACATAAAAGAAATAAAGCTTTAGGATTATAAGGTAAAAAGAAATGTATTCCAGTATAGCTTCATTGATTTTCTTTTTTGTGTTTTGTGTAACTGAAACTTGCTTAAGATTTTACAGTTTACCTGGATTCTTACATTAAATTTAGACTTTTTTCAAAGCAGCATCCCTGTTTCTTGGTGTGTGAAGATAATCCAAGGAATTGAAAAAGCTACTGAGAAGAGTGTGCTGGAGATGCTGTAGGGAAAGACTGGATGCTGAGACAAGTTCCAGTCCAAGGGCTTTGGGTTTTCCAAGAAGAAACCTAACATCATGGATCAGAACAACAGCCTGCCACCTTATGCTCAGGGCTTGGCCTCCCCTCAGGTAATGCAGCAGCAGGGAGAGGAGAGGGAGGGCAGACACATCTGCACTGTGAGAGACAGTGTCAAAGGGAAGGAAGGGCGTTTAACAATTTATTATTGAAAATGATTTTATAGATTTTTTTTAAGTCTCCTTTATTTTGTTGAGAAGATCCATTAGTCTTTGAATAGGCAAGATAGTATTTTATTTGGGGGGTTAGTTTGGAAGCTAAATTTTATATTTGTCTATAAAACACTTAATCTTTCGATAAATGCAAGAATGTTCCAAATGATATATATGGTCTTTGATTTTGAAAAGCACCCTCACCAAATCATTTTCTAGTTTTATCTTTTCCATTTTATGTTTAAAGTTTTAAATCACAGATCTAATTTAAATTTTTTGATAACTTCTGAAATATAATTTATATACAATAAAAATACCCATTTTAAGTATATGTTTTAATATTCCTGTTTAAGTTATAGAACATTTCAGTTACTCAAAAAAGTCCCTTTTTAGCCCCTTTGCAGTCATTCTCATTCTACCCAGACACATCTGACCTGCTCTTCCACCAGGCAAGGCCCGCACCACTCAGCACCAGTCAGCCTAACTATTGTTCTCCTTGCTCTCCACAGGGTGCCATGACTCCTGGGATCCCCATCTTTAGTCCGATGATGCCTTATGGCACAGGACTGACCCCACAGCCTATTCAGAACACCAGTAGTCTGTCTATTTTAGAAGAGCAGCAAAGGCAGCAGCAGCAGCAACAGCAACAGCAACAGCAGCAGCAGCAGCAGCAGCAACAGCAGCAGCAACAGCAGCAGCAGCAGGCTGCCCAGCAGTCCACGTCCCAACAGGCAGCGCAGGTGGCCTCGGGCCAGGCCCCCCAGATCTTCCACTCTCAGACTCTCACCACAGCACCCCTGCCGGGCACCACACCCCTGTACCCTTCCCCGGTGACGCCCATGACCCCCATCACACCCGCCACACCAGCCTCTGAGAGCTCTGGGATTGTGCCTCAGCTTCAGTGAGTACCTGGGGTGATGTCCTCTTGCCTGGACCTCAGGCAAGGCTCCGAGGGCTCCTCTGGAGCTGGGTTCCTGTGCTTTGTTTTCAGATGGGGCCATTTACTTAAGGGAGTGGCATCAGGGGTAGTTATGTAACAATATGCTTTCTCTCTCCCATGAGAGGGGAAGCAGGGCTGTCTCATGAATCAATGCTTTCAGTGAAAGACTCTCAGCATTTTCAGAACTGTCAATGCTGTTTATACCCTTGGACCAATAAGATTTATTCTGGATTTCATTACTGTTATGAATGTTTCATTACTGTTATGTATCTGATTTGCTAGGTCATGACATTATGTAGTCTCTTTGCCTTGTGATATTGTATGTCTTTATTTGCATCATCAGCGTGGGTCATAGTGGTTCTTAGTTTTCTTCATTTTTACCATGGGGGCTGCGTGTAAGTCTTTGAAGATCTGTGTCCTTCCCACAGGTGAAGATGGCTGTTCTTATCCTAAATGGGTTTTTCTACCTAAATGAAGTGGGTCCTGTATGTAACAGGGTAGTAGGGTAGGAAAAAATTTCTTCTTCTTGAAAAACACGCAAATATTTCCAGACATCAGTCAATGAAAAGTATATAGGTTTTACTTTTAGGGAATTTATGACCAAAGTAAAGGGTTCTTTGCAATCATAGCATCGCCTCAGTTTTCTTGTACAGCCATCTCCTCCTTTTCTATTCCCTTCAGATCTGGCATTTCCCATTTGCTCATAATCATCTCATTAGCTATGTGGTTGTCATTGGTAAACCATCTCCTATCATCTTTGGAACTAAGTGATGTACAATCATGGATCTTGTTACCCTGAGACTTCCATCTTGCTTCCCCTGTTTTGTTTAACCCACACACACTATTTTAAAAGCAAAATAATTTCAGTTCTAATGATTTTAGAGAAATATGCACTTGTTAGTTCACCTTTGTCTGCACTGCTTCCAGTTGTCTTGTGTGCTCATCTGACTCCCAAGGATGTTTACGTTTGCACTTTACACTGCTTTTAATCAGTCTGGGTCAGGTGTTTTTTCCTTACCGGTGCCTTAACTATTCCCATGAACCATCTGGTCAGCCACATTCCTGAGGGTCCACTATCTGCTAAGAACCCTACTGGGTGGTAATTCAGTAGGCTCTAAATATTATAGCCTTATGGATAATTAACATAAATATTTAATATTTAATGAAAATGTATAGGAATACCTTTAACAGTTATGTGAATAAATTTGTGATAGATACACCAAAATTTACTTGATACAGTTCATAAGTGGGCAAATGCTGAAGGTAGGTGTGTCTACAAAAGAAATAGATGGTGTAGAAATGAAGACATTCACTAGGTTTATTGATTCAGTTGCTTTACAGCTGTGTATTAAGACTGCCATTCTCTTTTCAACAAAATTATGAGCCATCAGATTTTCAAAAGTATTGCACTTGGACAGTACAAGAAAAAGAACCAGCAGCAACAATGAGCCAAGAACCTATTGACCATGCGTGTGAAGTCTGGAGTCAGTATTCTCAGGATGGCGATATGCCAGGTCGACAAGTGACAGTTGATGAGCAGTTAATTTCATTCAAAGGGCAACTAGCCCATTTCAAGTATATATGCTTTCAAAACCAGAAAAATGTAGAATAAAAATTTGGGTTTAAATTTTTATTAAAATTCTTAATAAATTTGGTTTTCACCATATCTTTATTGTTTTATAAATTATTTATAAAATAATTTAAAAACACTAAAATATGAAAAGGGTCCATTGGACCCAGATGGCTAAAGATGGTATCTATTTATCCTGATTTACTGAGGGTTAATCAGAAGAAGCAGCAGGTTTTTTTCCTTTGCCAAAGATACTACTTTCTTTTTCTTCTGAAAGATACTTATTTTTAGAGGACTGCAGAAGTCTGTGCCTGCCAGTTTTCATTATAAATAGTGACTTAGGAGTAGGGTGCTGTGGAGAGGCACACTTTGAGGAGCTCCCAGGTGAGAGCTGAGCTTGTTTAAGAGAAGGCTGGGGACATGGTTCCCTCACTTAGGGGCCCTGTGCATCCTGAGCAAAAGTTGCACTACCACGAGGCCTCAGCTCATGTGTCTGAATGTGGGGATACTAGTAATTACTACCTCATGGTGTACTATAAGTATTAAGTGAGGCAGTTTGTGTAAGATGCTCCGTGTGGTGTGTGATACTTGTTGAACACTTAATGTCAGTAATTTGTAAAAATGAAAGCTTAGTGAACGAATCAGATTTTGAGGTAATCATCTAATGCCTCATGGTGTAAAACTTAAATAATTTAAATAATCATGTTTTCTTTTCAAATTTCTTGCAGAAATATTGTATCTACAGTGAATCTTGGTTGTAAACTTGACCTAAAGACCATTGCACTTCGTGCCCGAAATGCTGAATATAATCCCAAGGTCAGATCTGTTTTAATGTATTTCAAACTATATTATGAAAAAGGAATTTACTTCTGAAATTTACTTCCTAGATCAAAGAGTTTCTGTTATGCGTAAGTTTCTTGACACCAACAAAATGAGGATCTAAAGTAAAATGTGTATTGTTTTTTATCTTGGATATTTAGCAAATAGACCAATTTCATTCATTCAACTTGTATATTATCTACAATGCCTAGGAACATAGCAGTCCACAAGTTAAACAAAGTTTATAAATACATTGTAATGGGGATCATATGAAGTTTGAGAACAGATTCTATAGTATGATGCATTTATGATTTGAGAACTATAGGATAGATTGACATGGTATCTGGAATTTATCTCAAAATAATCCTGTGGGAGAATTGGAAAGGGAGCACATGGATAAAACAAGATTGACCAAGAGTTAATAATTTTTAAAGTTGGATAATAAGTACAGGACGTTTGTTATAATCCAGTTTTCTATCTTTGTATAGTTTCTAAGTTTTTTTTTACAATAAAAGATTAGGATAGAAAAAAACTGCACAAAATTTCTGATTTTACGATAGCAGCCTGAGTATGTATTAAAGGCTTTTGCACCTATACCAGCAGAAAAGTTTTTTTTTTTAATAGACAACATTTGCATTGGGAAACAAGTGGACACTTTTAGAGGCCCAGTCAGAACCGAGGCATCTGAGTCTGAAGAAGGTCAGGTTGAAGAGCTCACCCTCCAGAAGACAGCCCCCCTGGTGGGGGCCATTTGTCAAAGAATTGCTCAGGCACATGCAAACTTTTGTACATGGGAAACCAATATTAAATTGATTTCATCTAACAAAGAAACAATAAGTTCTAATTAAGAAAAAGGGAAGAAAGCATAAGGAAAAACTAGGGACAGTTTTTAAAATCGTCTTTCATTTCTTGAGTAAGCTGCTGTCCCTGGCAGCTGGCAGAGAGGGTGGTCAGGCTTTTCTGCCCTGTGGCAGTTATTTCTGGAAACCTTGAGAATTTACCCAAGAGTCATATGTGACAGGCTGCTCTGTGTATGTCTGTAAGTGTCCGTGTTAAGGCCTCTTCCCTAGTTCTGCCCGGTTAACACCATTCCCTTACCACTGCATCTGAGTTCCCCCGTTTGGTTAAACTCTCAGTGCAGGTTGGCCATGGGGGCTTCACTCTTTCTCACGTAACTTCATTAGATGATGTTGTTTTGAGGTAATGGCTGTATAGGGGCATTTAAGTGCCTGGATATTGGACAGTAGAGGAGGAGAAAATAAGAATAGTCTCGAAGATCATAAGAAACGTGGAACCTGCTTCATTTTTAGTTTGCTCGAGGCTAACCAGGAGAATAATTAACAAGCATCATCTTGGGCACTTTTAGCTAACCAAAAATTTTTTTTAATTGATTGATTATTCTGCTTTTTTTTCTCTCTCTCTCTCTACAAAATATTTATCCAGGCATTAAAAAATGAATTAACCATTGTACAATTCTCACTAGGATGGCCAATAAATAATTGTGGATGATCCTGTTACCTGGGACTCTTTTAGCCAATACATTTATGATAGTTTGTTGGGCTTCTTAAGCTTGAGCTGCTTCATTTGCCTTGTGAGCTGTAGTCTAGTCACATATTTTAGTTTAGGAACTCCTAGCCAGGGTAGAAATTTTTGTACAAACTATTGAAATCCATGTTCTTATAATCTTTTTTGATAAGTTTCCATTTCAGTATCTTAATTGTATGTATTGCCTGAGATTTTTGTTTTGAAAGCTCGGGAAACTTGGATAACAAATTTAATAGTGGAACAAACAGCAAAATATTGTTAATATTAAGGGGAAGAAGTGAGAGAAAGAAGAGGCTATAAATAATAAGACTTAAGTCTGTTCTGTCTTGGGTCTTGATTCGAAGGTGTTGAGAGAAAGCTATATTTTCAGGAGTCATCACCTTCTGGAGGCCTTTTATTTTACTTCATTTATTTTTTAAGAGGTGGAGTCTTACTTCATCACCCAGGCTGGACTTAAACTCCTGAGCACAAGTGATCCTCCTGCCTCAGCCTCCCAGCTAGCTAGGACTGCAGGTGCAAACCACCGTGCCCGGCTTCCTGAAGGCCTTATAATGAGACTTGGCTTCTGTCTCCAGGCACAACTGATACCTGATTGGAGGATTCTGAGTACATGTAAACTGGGGAAGGAATCTGTATATCTGTATCCTGATGCCTGAAAATTGTATTTTAGTTATGAGCATCTGACAGGTTTTATTCTAGGCAGTTTTGAGGCTGACTTCCATGGATGGCTTTTCCATCAAACTGTCTGCTGCTGTATATTATATGGAGGTATGTGCAGTGGTGTGCTCTTTGGAAGTGTAGCTTGTAGCTATTGGGCATACAACACAGGACACATGACAGTATACAGGATGTTAGTTTGATGGCATTCGACGAGGTCAGGGTTTAACAGGTTGAGACTGTTAAGGAGCCAGGTCACTTCTCATACAGTGAGAATTTGTGGCTTTGAGGTGTTGTTCACCTTGTCCTTAGGGCAGGAGTAAGACTTTACACCAAGGAAAACAGCTCCTTCTAGAAAATGGACTGTTTTACCATTGGCCTTTTAACAAAGGAAAGCTTCAGTCAACCAGAAAAACTGTTTATAAACTATTACTAGGTAATCATTTGCCACATAACATGCCAGTCAACAATGGACTACATATATGATGGTGGTCACATAAGAGTTACAGCCATCGTGATGTCCTAGCTCAACACATTGCCTTTTCTACATTTAGATACACACATGCTGATAGCATTGCAACTGCCTACAGTCTTTGTTACAGGAACATGCTGTGCAGGTCTGTAGCCTAGGAGCAGTAGGCTGCACCACACAACCTAGGCATGTAGTAGGCCACGCCATCTAAGTTTGTATGCACGCAGCCTGTGATGTCCACAGTGATGAAATTGCCTAACAATGCATTTCTGAGAATGTTGTTAAGTGATGCATGACCTCATATCTAATGAAATCTAAGTGGGAGCCTAGAGCCCTGCCTTTTCCTGTCTTGTGATAATTTAAGGTAAGGCAATTCTTAGTAACCCTGTGAGTTTCTCAAGTAAAAATTTCCCACCAATATTTTTGTAAAGTCTGAATGTACCTATCTGTCTCTGTCATTTTTCTTGGTGGTGGTAGCTTTTTGTTGTGTATGTGTGTGTTTTCACATGCATAAGTATCAAATTTGAAGATGGTTTTGGATGAAACTAAGCCATTTTGAGATATTTATGGTAAAATAAAGAGAAAAGATGAAGACTAAGTTTCTCCTCCCTCAACCCTGTAAAATATTATATATATTAACTTTGTAATATCAATGGTGGCAAAAGCTATTAAGTTATTTGCATGAGCCAGAAAAACTGCTTTTCTCCTAAGGGGTTTTAATCTTACAATTGGTATTTCCTTCAGAGTCTGATTTCCTCAAAATCATTGATTAATTTTTAATGTTTTAATTGGGGTAACCACAAAAAATAGAAAACTTTTCTATTTTCATAATAAAACGAACCCCAAAAGATTCTCTACTATTAATTCAGATATTTGTGTTTGAAAGTCTAATGAGATGACTATCTTAGAATGAGCTATTATAACAATGTCTATAACAATACTTAGAAGTCACACTATAACAATATACAGTATACCTTCATTATTGTAAGCATATGAGTCATTGAGTTACTCATATTAGGATTTATCATCAAAACAAAACAAGGGAAGCTTAGATTTATTTCGATAGGTTTTTTGTTAAAGGGAAAGGAATTAAAGTAGCTTGATTTAGATTGGAATAGTAAACAGTTACACGTGAAGAAGACAAAAGCATTTTATGTATGTGTAAGGATGGTGTTTGGCAGATATAGCAGGTAAGTAATTTGTATAAACATTAGCTGTGGGTTGAGAGGAATGTTAAATAATGGACTTGGGGGCATTTCTAAATCCCTAAAACATAACCTTGTCTTTTACATATAAGTGAGAGAGATTTAGCATAGGTAGAAATGTACAAAGTCTGAGTTGCTATACTAACTAGTTAAGAAAGAAAATGGCTCATTTAGTTTTGAGATGTTCCATTCTATTTGATTGAGCTAATTGAAATATGGAGAAGATCAAATATGTGTAATTATTATAGAGGCCCTTCCTTTAAGAGAATAAATACCCAGTGGCTATTTAGGTAACTGCAAAAGTATTTAGTGGTAAAAGAGATCTAACAGTTTCATTATTTTGAGAGTGAGAATTTAAGGAAGAAAAAAAAAGATTTGTCAGAATTCTTGAATCGTGGCCAAGCGTGCTGGCTCATGCCTGTAATCCTGGCACTGTGGGTGGCCAAGGCGGGTGGATTGTTTCAGCTCAGGAGTTTGAGACTAGCCTGAGCAAGAGTGAGACCATGTCTCTACTAACAATAGAAAAAAATTAGCCAGACAACTAAAAATCTATATAGAAAAAAGTAGCTGGGCTTGGTGGCTCATGCCTGTAGTCTCAGCTACTCGGGAGGCTGAGGCAGGAGGATCTCTTGAGTCCAGGAGTTTGAGGTTGCTGTGAGCTGGGCTGACGCCATGGCACTTTAGCCAGGGCAACAGAGTGAGACTCTGTCTCAAAAAAAACCAGAATTCTTGAATCTTTTTCATCATTTAAAGCTTTTTCCTTTGACTTATTTTTTTTTCTTCTTTTTTTTTTATTATTTTTTTTTCTCAACATCGCCACATGATATTACTTTCCTCTTTGACTTTGAAATGTAATATTGGCATATTAAATACAACAATGTGTATATCATGCAGTTTATTATCAGTTTATTATATTAATAAACTAGCAATTTCTTTAATAAGGAGACAGAATATATATTTCTCTTTGGCTATTTTACCTCAGGTAGTCTCAACCATTATTATTAGTTATTACCATTAGCCAAACAATTTGGTTTTGTTTCCTCCAGACGCAAGGAAAACTATTAGAAAGAAATGACCAGGAAATGTCTAGCTATCTGTCTATCAGAGCACATTATATTTCCTGTTTGTAATTATGTAAAATAGCAGAAATGAACATGTACATTAACAGCATCCAAGTGCATTTCTATTTCCCTTACAGTCATCACACATGAAAATGAGAGCAAAGGATGAATAGAAACTGCTTAGTGACCACTGTTATTTCATTTATCTTAAATTGTCCAAATATTCCAAGATTTTGTAATATTTGTCTAAGATCTCAAAGGTAATTAAGGGTCTAGAAGTCACCATATAACTACTCGTAATGAGTCTGCATGGCATGTATTTATAGCTTTATAACACTCTTTCATCTATCATAATTTTGTTTAGTTAAATAGATAATTTTATAATTTTATGATCTTTAATGAAATGATATTAATTAGCCAATAAAAATAGTAGAAGTTGTTTAGGAAATTCAAAATAATTAGTCTTTTTTGAGACTTGTGTGAATTAGAATATACTGCTAACATTTTAGATGGTGGTAAAATCACAGAGTAGGTTTTAAACTAACATTGTTAAAGCAATCTAATTTGTCAGTCATCTTGATTAGAAATATTATGTGGATTTTTTTCTTATGTCACTAAAGATCATATCTTAAATTTTTGCCTGTAATCTCAGCACTTTGGGGGAGGCCAAGGTGGGAGGATTGCTTGAGCCCAGGAGTTTAAGACCAGTCTGGGCAACATATCGAGACTCTGTCTCTACAAAAAATGTTTTTAAAAATTAGCTGTGCGTGGTGGTGTGCACCTGGACTCCTAGCTACCTGGAAGGTAGGAGGGTCGCTGAGGCAGGAGGATCGCTTGAGCCCAGGAGTTGGAGGCTGCAGTGAGGATGATGACGCCATTACACTCCAGCCTGGGTGACAGAGTGAGACCCTGTCTTAATTTTTTTTTAATGTTATTTGAAAGAATTTTTGCTTTTTATCATGTACCTAGTAACTGAAGCCATTAATTCAACCCACAGTTGAAATATTTTCCCCTTCAGTTACAGTTTGAATAAGAAAAAGTTTCTCAAAGAGCTGTTTCTGCTATTTTATGTTTATGTTTCAAACATAAATAGGAAAAAAGTTAAAACTTTGATTTTTTTCCCCTTACTTTGCATTTTATGTAAGTATTTACTACATTAAGATTGTTTCTAAAGGCCAGTTGGAAGTAGGATTTTATTTCATTGCATATTGATATACTTGTAATCTGATTTAATAATTCCCTCAGGTAGAAAAGGCTTATCAGTTTATTTGCCTAAAAATAATACAGAAAATGTATAGAGAAGCTGGTTATGATAAGCAGCAAATATAAGGCAGAAACAAAGGTAGGTGCTGGTTTTTATTGAGAATGTAATTAGAAAACCAAGTTTTACAAATGGGATTTATCTTGTCTTGCCGGAATGCTCATGAGAAGGCGTACACAGATCTCGATGTAACTTACTTCATAGGTACAACTGTTATTTTCTCCTGCTCCCCACCCAGAGGAGTACCTGTTGTGCGTGATGGAAGTGAATCCCATACAGGAGGACAGGACAAGTTTTTTGATAGCTACGCACTAGGTCCTTCCCACTAGCTGTGATGTTCTTTGTTAATGTCTAATTCTAACAAAATTGAGCAGTTTGGCATGATCTCACTAATGATTCTCTCTGACCATTTTAGCGGTTTGCTGCTGTAATCATGAGAATAAGAGAGCCACGAACCACGGCGCTGATTTTCAGTTCTGGGAAAATGGTGTGCACAGGAGCCAAAAGGTAGCCGTAAGGAATTCATTCTCCTGGTCTGTGGGTTATGAAAGAAGAGGTGATATCTTATGGTTTGTAGGTTATTAAGCTAGCACTTTAACATTTTATTGTTGCTTTCTTATTAAAATGGTTGATTCTAATCTTTTTTTTTTTTTGAGACAAAGTCTCACTCTGTTGCCTAGGCTAGAGTGCTGTGGCATCAGCCTAGCTCACAGCAACCTCAAACTCCTGGGCTCAAGTGATCCTTCTGCCTCAGCCTCCCAAGTAGGTGGGACTACAGGCACACACCACCATGCCTGGCTAATATTTTCTACATATGTTTTTAGTTGGCCAATTAATTTATTTCTATTTTTTAGTAGAGACAGGATCTTGCTCTTCCATAGGCTGGTTTCGAACTTCTGACCTTGAATGATCTGCCACCTCGGCCTCCCAGAGTGCTAGGATTACAGGCGTGAGCACTCTGGAGGGTTCAAATACCTAGCTGCAGTCAAAAACTAGGGAAAAGTTGGTAACCTTCGTTTCATAAATATTGACCAAACAAAAATAAAACTCTTTAAATAAAAGACGATTAAAATGTACTTGGAGGTGTCAACACATAGAGAGGCTGTGGCTGTTTTTACTTATTCTGAACTTTGAAATTGTCTTTTAAAGAACGGAATACCATTGGTGTGGACACTGGCTCCTGGTCTCTGATTTTTTTCAGAAGGCAGGACGTGGGTCTGTCCTCCTCCTTGGCTCCAACATGTAGTAGGAACAATTTAAGAGCCTTTGTATTTGCTTGTTTTCCCCTGGATGGAACATCAGAAACTTTTGGTTTATAAGTGGATGCCTGATGTTTCTGTTTTTTCCCAAAACAGGCTTTTCATGCAGCATATAGCCCTCTTTGTCCCAGAGCATCTGCAGGCTGACTATTGTATATCTAGTTGGATGATTATTTTATCAAGATAAGAAACCACAAATAAATTAATTTTCCTGGTGGGGCAGCAGAAGGCACTGTATGTATATGTGCTTAATTCTTGTCCTTCCTGATCCTTTGCATGTGACTCTTGCATTCATAGCCTTATTGTTTGCCTTGTGCTTTTCTGACATAACCTTTAAGTCATGGTTTTATCCAGCAAATGACATAGGAATGGATAAAGGGAGACTTGATATAAAAGACAATAGAATTAGTGAATGCATTCTCTAATAATAAATCTCATTAATATTTTCCTGTCAAAATGAAGCCTGTTAGTTACATCTCAGTAGAAATGTATGAGTTAAAATATAAAAGCAGTAATGATGACATCACACTTCACATCCTTAAAAATCTAAGGCTATCAATAATTTGGTGAATTGAAGGGGTGATCATTCTGGTAGGCCTACAGTCTTCTGTCTAGGACACAGGAATACTTGATAGGCAGGGCACGAGGGCTCATACCTGTAAATCCTAGCACTCTGGGAGGCCGAGGCAGGAGGACAGCTTGAGCAAGAGTGAGACCCCATTTCTACTAAAAATAGAAAAATTAGCCAGGCGTCATGGCACACACCTACAGTCCCAGCTACTCAGAAGGCTGAGGTAGGAGGATTGCTTGAGACCTGGAGTTTGAGGTTGCTGTGAGCTAGGCTGATGCCATGGCACTCTACTCAGGGCAACAGGGTGAGACTCTGTCTCAAAAAAGGAATACTTGATAGTAAAATGGTTAATGTCATTTTTTTCTCTTATTGGAAGGGAGTTGACCAGTTTATGGTCTGTTTATTAATTTTCTAATTTGAACTTTTTATAAGTTATTTATCTAAATAATTATTTTAGCTGGGTTTGAGTATAAATAACTCATCTTTTTCCTTTCTCTAGTGAAGAACAGTCCAGACTAGCAGCAAGAAAATATGCCAGAGTTGTACAGAAGTTGGGTTTCCCAGCTAAGTTCTTAGACTTCAAGATTCAAAACATGGTGGGGAGCTGTGATGTGAAGTTCCCTATAAGGTTAGAAGGCCTTGTGCTCACCCACCAGCAGTTTAGTAGGTAAGTCTGAAATGTGTTACAGTTGCTTTTGGCAATAATTCATTGATGACCCATTTAAACATTGTTCAGGGCCGGGCGCGGTGGCTCAAGCCTGTAATCCTAGCACTGTGGGAGGCCGAGGTGGGCGGACTGCTCAAGGTCAGGAGTTTGAAACAAGCCTGAACAAGAGCGAGACCTCATCACTACTATAAATAGAAAGAAGTTAATTGGCCAACTAATATATATAGAAAAAATTACCTGGGCATGGTGGCGCATGCTTGTAGTCCCAGTTACTCGGGAGGCTGAGGCAGTAGGATTGCTTGAGCCCAGGAGTTTGAGGTTGCTGTGAGCTAGGCTGACGCCATGGCACTCACTCTAGCCTGGGCAACAAAGTGAGACTCTGTCTAAAATAAATAAATAAACAAACATTGTTCAGGATAAGACACATGTAAAATGTTGAACGTGTAGGAACAAATGATGTCATAGTCACATGTATTGTCTCATTTTCTTCCTTATGTCCCCGGTGGTGTTTATCACCCTCATCAGCTGGAATGAATGTGATTTCCCTTCTCTATGTTTTATCATTTTATTGGTCAATAAATATACTTTAAATGTGTGAATTGAACCGACAACCTCTCGTGTCAGTGTTTTACCCTGTTTGATTCTTCTTAGTTTATAGCAGATCTACCAGCAAAGTGTAAAGTTGAGCAGTAGGAACATTCTTTCCGGTTATCTCCCTGCTACTTGCAGGTGGAGACTCGGGGCAGATCCCCACCTACCACGCAGCCTCATGCCACTGCCCTCTCATGCTGTCTGCCCATGCAGTGCCCCCTGGTGCCCTCTCGGCCTGGGCCTGCGCTCATGCTATTGGGATGCCTGGCCCACTCGTCTCACTTTCCACCTAGGAGGCTCCCACTGGAGTTTCAGGTGTCCACCGATGCCACTCTTCCTCAGTGAAGCCTGTCCGATTCCCTAGGCCAAACACACACCGTCGTCAGCCTCTCCAGACTGACAACAATGAGAGCACTAGGGCTGGAGTGAACAGACCAGTAGTCATTCGGTCAGACAGTTTAATGGGGATAGGTTCATTCTCAGGTGAGTCTCTGGTGTACCACTTTGGTTAAATTACCCAGCCACAATTGACAGCTAGAGAATATTTCAGTTTAAGGAGGTGGAATATGATTAAAAGGTAAATAGTCACTATCAGATCTTAGAAATATTATTAGTCTAAGTCGTTATACCTAAACTTGTCCATAATGAATCTTGACAAGGATCAGAAACTGCAGAACATAAATACAAAGCTCTTATTCTTATGTCAGAAAATTCAGATTCTGCAGAAACGGGGTAAGGTGAGAGCACAAACAGCTCCTGTCGACTAGCTGATCAAGTGTCAACTATGAGCTGGTCTCATTTGCTTTATATATTTTCTTCTTTTATGCAGTTTGAAGAACTGTACTTTACCTAGTGATTAGTTTGTTTATTTAGCATTTTCCCCTCATACAGGTCCTCATTTTATCTAAAAGCATGGGAAGCTCTTAATTTCTAAACTGTTTTTGCCATTTTCCTTCTAGTTATGAGCCAGAGTTATTTCCTGGTTTAATCTACAGAATGATCAAACCCAGAATTGTTCTCCTTATTTTTGTTTCTGGAAAAGTTGTATTAACAGGTAAGTTATAACAGAAAGTAGCATCTTAAAGTTGGAAAGAATGTCAAGTATAGCATTTTCTCAGTGCTGGAAGGAGGTCTCAGAGTTGGATGGTGGGCTGGCTTCTCATACAAAGGCCTCCCAGCCTGACACTCTGGTGAGAAACGTGCCCCTGGAGGGCCAGCTTGAGAGCAGGGACAGTGAAGGTAGGACGGTGTCTTGGTTGGGATTAGTCCCCTGAAGCTGTGGGATTCTTCAGTACTGTCGTGGGACAGCAGGGACGACTCAGAAGAGCTTAGCTGAAGGCAGCAGTCCAGAGTAGGACCAGGGGTTCTGCTGTCCTTGTCAGACCAGGGAGAGGCTGTGAGGACGTGCCCGTCTTGCAGAGCTGACCTGTAGAGTGGGAGGCTGGAGCCACCTGGTGCAGTGCTTTTGTACTTAAAAAATCCATTTTAAGAAAACAGTGTTTAAAAAAGAAAAACAGGATTGTGACAAGGGGTGCCACCATTAATGTTTTAGTGCCTGTGTCTGTTAGTTTGGGTATGGAGAGAATTGTGCTTGCAGCTTTGTTTAAGGGTAATAATTTTGCCTTAATATGTCTAGAAACGCCATTTCAGACTCACATCTCCACTCCAACTTGTCTTTGTAGGTGCTAAAGTCAGAGCAGAAATTTATGAAGCATTTGAAAACATCTACCCCATTCTAAAGGGATTCAGGAAGACAACATAATGGCTGTCATGGCCCCTGCCTCCCCCACCCGCTTGTTGTTTTAAACAGATACGTTCTGGTACCTTAATGTGGTAACGTCGTGAGAAGGTGGACATGCGGTTGCAGGTGGCAGCACCAGGTGATGTCCTTCCGTACGGCCCTGCCGCAGGATGCCAAGAGGGTGTCTCTTGTGCACTGAGAACACCGCGCAGGCCACCGAGCGCACCGGCTGCTGTGCTGCTGTGCGGGCGGTGCTGCCGTTTATTTATATTAGATTCTAGACACTGCTGTTGACAAGTTGGTTTAAGGGACAAAACTGCAAGTGTTAAAGCCACCTCTACAATTTATTGGACTTAATTTTTTCCCCCATAAACCACAGTTTTTATATTTCTATCAGAAAAGTAAAAATCTTTTTTAAAAGTGTTGTTTTTCTAATTTCTAACTCCTAGGGGTTATTTCTGTGCCAGACACATTCCTCCTTCCAGTATTGCAGGACAGAGTAGATGTATTAATGACAACAAATGGCTGTACATATTTTTCTTTCTTCAGAGTACTCTGTACAATAAATGCAGTTTATAAAAGTGCTAGATTGTTATAAATGAGACCTTGTAAGAGTCATGTGATCATACTGTTTAAAAAAAGTTGTATTTTAGATACAATGCCTGAAACCATTTTGGTGTGTGTTTGCTTGTTGTTTGCTTCAGTCACCGTTTATAAAAATGGAAGAACTATCTGAGATCTCACAGTTGCTCCAGAAACATGTATTCATTGCCTTCCCTTTGGAACACCTGTTTCCCAGGTACTTTGCATGTAGCGCTGGAATCCTCACGGAGCTGCAGGCGCTATTCCTCCGTGAAGGGACTTGCCTGAGGTTACTGGCCAGTAAGGGACCGAAATGGGTGCTGTCCAGGCGGCCAGCACTCTGGTGTAGCGTTTTTGGTGCAAGTTTTTTTTTTTTGTTTGCTGTTTTCCTCATGGCATGTCAGGTGGACATTTGTAGGTTCTTAGGCTTCATTGTTAGGGTTTTGTTGTTACTGTCATAAAAGTAAATTTTCAGTACGTTACAGGTATATAATCAGAAAGGGGAGGTCTTTCCTTCCTCTCCCTTCCACCTGTTAACCCAAGGTAACCACCAGATTAGTGCATATCTTCCAAGCCCTGTTCAGTGCAAATTCTATCCTCTGGGCTTGCTTTTGATCCCATTTTTTGGAAAAATTACTAAAGAATATATTGTTTTACAGCTTTCCCTTTTTTTATTCAGTATATCATAAATGTATTAGTATTTCCATGATTGGGAATTAAGGTTTTCTTATATACCTTCATTTATTGAACCATTCTCTTAATTATGTTCATATATGTTATCTTCAGTTTTTCACTATTATGAACAGTACTGCAGGGAACAGCCTTGTATGTGTACTTTTGTGGATAAGTACTGATATTTCTGTAGTAAACTTTTCTAGAAGATGAATTGCTGTATTAAAGACAATTTATACATTCTAAGTTTTGATAGGTTGGTAACCACACTGCAGTCCAAAGAGAAGGGTATACAGAGTGCTCTGTTCTTGCATTTCCCAGTCAGTAGTGATGCCAGCAATGTGTGAATTTGGAAAGACATTCCAGTGTTATCTCTACCCCAGAAAGAAGTGTCTTTTCATTTATGTAGGTCCATGTGTGTATATTATCAGTAAAGTTTTATATTTTTTTCATACAATGCTTTTACATTTTGTAAAAGTTAATTCCTACGTATATTATGGTTTCTGTTTTATTAATGGAACTTTTTCATGAATTTTCACTTTAAAATTTATTGTTGTTTGTCTTATTACCAGTTTACTGAACTCATTACTGTTGATTTAGTTGATTGTATTGAAAGTTCTGGCATGTAATCATCTGTAAATAGTAATTTTTTTTCATTTCCAGTATTTCTTTCTCTTATCTCAGTGGGTAGGACTTTAATGTGTGTAACTTTTTGAAAATCTTTCCTTCAACTTTGAGTTGTAAAATGCAGCACATACAGGCAATCTAGCAAATGTATGACTCAAAGGCAGACCCCCTTGTAGCATCACCAGGTCAAGAAATAGAACTTACTGCCCCAGAAGCCCCTTGTACCACCGGCCAGCCACACCTCACTTTCCCCAAACAGGAACCAGCGTCCCAACCTTTGTAGTCATTAGCTAAACACTAATATAGGTTAGTCTTCCATTTAAAGGTAATTGGTGTTTTTATGTGTTTTAATCTTTAAGTTCCCCTCCATCTCTTTTCCTTCAAATTTGCAGGCCATTGAGTGGGTGGAGCTTCTCAGAGTCTGGGTTTTGCTAGTTACAAACTCATGGTACAGTTCAGTGTCCTTCTATTCTGTTTTCCTGCAAATTGGCAGCTGGTATGCAGTTGCGAGATCTATTAATTCATTAGTGAGTTGCAAAATAATGAAATATTAATTCTTTTTTCACTTATTAGAATACTTTTATAAAGTGATGCACTTCATCATAGCAGGATAAAAGTTTGCTTCTTTCCCTAATTCAAATTCAGAACTACAGGATTTTTATTTAACCAATTTTATATCATATATACTTTTACACTAAGAATCCTTAATTTATTTATTTTTTTTTTTTTTGCGACAGAGTCTCACTTTGTTGTCCAGGCTAGAGTGAGTGCCGTGGCGTCAGCCTAGCTCACAGCAACCTCAAACTCCTGGGCTTGAGTGATCCTTCTGCCTCAGCCTCCCGAGTAGCTGGGACTACAGGCATGTGCCACCATGCCCGGCTAATTTTTATATATATATATCAGTTGGCCAATTAATTTCTTTCTATTTATAGTAGAGACGGGGTCTCGCTCTTGCTCAGGCTGGTTTTGAACTCCTGACCTTGAGCAATCCACCCGCCTCGGCCTCCCAAGAGCTAGGATTACAGGCGTGAGCCACAGCGCCCGGCCCTTAATTTATTTTTTATTTCTTAGATCACTGCAATATGTAGAGAATCCTTAATTTTTAAGAACATAGGGGATAAATTAGAATATCCCATAATTACTAACTTAATCTATATTATATGTGCAACATTCTTAAGAGTGACAAAATACTACCACCAATATGATTTGCCAAAAACATTTAAACATCAGTTTTTTGCTATGATCTCTGAAATTGTCAAAGAGTGAGACCAGCACTCAGTATTGGAAGGGGAGAGAGACCTGACTGTTGCTCTCTACGATAGAGGAGCTGCTCTGGCTGAGCAGTGTCTGAGCCCAGCAGACCCTACACTGTGCAGGGGGAGCGCAAGGACTGGCCATCCACGTCTGTGCACCTGTGGCTGTGTGGGTGAGACTTGATTTGATTGTCTTGTGGTTTTCAATGTGTCTTGACATTTCTAGAGGCAAGTGAGTTGCTTAATGTATTTTTGATGTTGTATTATTTATAGTATAGTTGCCTTTTTTTTTTAACAGTTGCCAAGTTGGTGCTGATTGGGACCAGCCTGTCTCTCTTTTGATACCACCTGTTCCAAGCAGAAAGGCCCCGTGAACTTGCAGTCATCTCTAGAGGCTGACTGGACACACTGACAGCTTGGCTGAGTGCTCCAATAAGCCCAGGGCATCCTGTGATGTCCCCATAACAGGTTTTACCATAGAAAGACCCTAGGCCAGGCGCGGTGGCTCACGGCTGTAATCCTAGCACTCTGGGAGGGTGAGGTGGGCAGATTGCTCGAGGTCAGGAGTTCAAAACCTGCCTGAGCAAGAGCGAGACCCCGTCTCTACTATTAATAGAAAGAAATTAATTGGCCAACTAATATATATACAAAAAATGAGCCGGGCATGGTGGCACATGCCTGTAGTCCCAGCTACTAGGGAGGCTGAGGCAGCAGGATTGCTCGAGCCCAGGAGATTGAGGTTGCTGTGAGCTAGGCTGATGCCATGGCAACAAAGCGAGACTGTCTCAAAAAAAAAAGAAAGACCCTAAAGTCTTTGCTCTAAAAGCCCTCATCGGGCAGAATGTACACATTCTGACTACAAGGAATTATTCGTAATTTAGGACACAAAGGCCCCACTAGTCCAGTTTTCAAGCCACTGTGCTTCCCACTGAGCGTTGTGACCAACTCTTGCCACTAAATGGTGATGAAAACTCCCTCCAGTAGCCACAGCCTGCGACATACCATAGTTATGGGTGACTCCCATTGACAGCCACCTGAGGCTCAAAACTAATGCCATTCTCTAATTAAAAAGTAGCCAAGGGAATTCCATACTGCACTTACCCATAGGGTGCTATGTGTAACTATATACACATCGCTACTAATATAAATTATAAATATATACACATACATAGTCCTAGACTAATAGGCCAGGACTTTATGATACACAAGTATAGTGAAATAGCCAAGTAGCCAATGACTTTAGAAAGTGATGTTACCTTTGAAAAGAAAAGAGGATTTATGGTGGCAATGCATTTCAGAGTTAACAGGAACGTTTTATGGGGGAATGTGAGTCCATGTAGATTAAAGAAATAAGCATAAGACAGTTACCAGAATGAACTATCATCCCTGGTGTTAAGAGAACTGGGAATTATCAGTTGTGAAGGTAGGGCTGGAAGGAACCTTAGGTCGGAAGCATAAAGTTAGGAGCCTCTTACTTAAACAGAATGTCCCACACTGCACAGCTGATGCAAGGCCTGCCTTCCCTCCCTGGGCTGCTGCCAGGGCCAGCTCCTTCCTCTGGTTACATCCCACAGCCCCTGAAGGAGGGAAGGGAAGATGGCCTCTTGCCGCTCAGTCTCTCATCTGTAAGCAGGGCCACAGACTAACCAACTGTGAGTTAGAACCTCTTCAAATTCAGGTTTATGACCACAAAGCCACCATTTTTCCTGATACTGCCAAGTGTGGTACTGCTCCTTCAGAATTATCTTGTTCACCAGACCCACCAGCCTAGTGAAGTGTAGTATTTTTCTCACGTTCTGGGCTTCCGGTGAGTATGAGAGTATGGGACAACCAGCTGATGATTAGACAACAGTATGTTGGGGTTTCACCTATTTTTCTTTGTTTTAATTTTGCAGACTTAGAGGGGGAAGTGCTCTAAAGAGTGGTTTGACTTAACTTGGTACATAACCCATTTTTATTATAGAAATGCACATATAAGTAAAAAGATCATTTTACTTATTCCCACCATTCACAGATAACCAGTTCACACTTAGTCTCTTTCCCAGATTTCTGTGCACATATACATGTATAAATATGTTTACAAAAATATGGTAATATCATGAATACCACCCATAGTGGCGTCTAATGTGAATTTAGATCTGTACCTTGTTTGCTGTCCACATAAGTGTGTATCATCGAGACTGTGTAGCCTTCCACTGCAGAACACCAACATTTAATTCCCTGTTGTTGGACATTTGTGTGTTAATATTTAGACACTATAAACAATACCTCAAGCAACAGCTCTGTATCTCTTGTGCCTCTATTTCTGGTATAATTATTCCCTTAGGATAAAGTCCTAGAAATGGAATTGCAAGGTATAAGATGCCTTTAAGGTGTGTCTGCTACATCCTGCTTCCACACAAATTCCTCTGTGTAGCTAGTCCCCAGGCTGCAGCTCTCGGCACAGGTGAACACAGCCAGGATGCCCCAGTCCACACTGGTGCCCAGTCTATCGGCCTTCAGGTAATTGAGCAGTTGAGGCATGACCTGGAAGGAAAGTGACAAAGTTAGAATGCTGCTTCAGGGCAGGAAGCACCATCTGCTTTCAATAGACTTTCTCGGCCAGGGTGATTATTGGGATCCTGGCCCTTCAATCTTCATACTACACAACAGGATTATAGACACTATACAGTTAACATATTTAATAATCTAAAAACATTTTACAACTTCAAAGCCCCTCTCTACTTCATCTAGCCTTCTGGTTAGTATGTCTTTTCCATTTCAGAAAGAAGTTCACAAGTGCTGTTAAACTTTTATTACTAATATCTATTACTAATATGCCACAAAATAGTCCTGAAGCTTCTACTTGGGCAAGTCTTATTTTGTATCATACAAAACCTGAATAGCAGATGTTGTGACTCTGACTCAAGAAACCCTAACCCTAACTTCTAGTAATGAATATAGAAGGGCATCTGCTGACATTTGTATAGACTAGAAAGGGATTTCTCTGAAGTGAAGTAGTCTACTCTGAAAGCACAAAGCAGCAAAATTGCCACCATGGTGTGAAACTGCTCTATACAAATCCTGTCACCTCATCCTGGGCTCCAAAAGCTTTGGCACTAAAAAGTAAACAGTTTTGGCTATGATCCTCATGATTCCTTTTTTTTTAATCCAAAGAAACAAACATTACCTACAACTTTGTAAGGTTAGTGAAGTCGCAGCTCAAGAGCATTTCCACTAAATGTGGAAAGTCCACCAAAGTCCCCAAATAGACTTTATGCTAACAACTCCTTTGTAAAAAACACCTTAATGCTTATATCCATTGTTTTAACAAATCCACAAATCAAGATTAAACAGTAAAGGCTCTAAAATATCCTCTCACAAAGTATGAAGGCAAAGACTTTAATTAAAAGTAACCACACTGGAGGCAGAGGGCTATGCAGTGCCTCAATCTAAATCCTCATCACAACATCCTCATCACAACAATCAGTCTACATAGCCTGAAAACTAGGGAACTGACAGACACCAGAAAAAGAAAGCTAAAGAGACAGATAACTACCAGAAAAAGCAGTGAATGACAATTCCCTCCAGGGATACTCCCCAAGGTTGGAGAGAAAACTGATTTCCATTGCAGGACACCTTCCATGCTGCCTGTTGACCCGTGTGCATGTGTTACTTTGGTAAAGTGTTTAAAACATAAATCATGGTGACTACACGCAAAACAGTCCTTTTCTAAGGTCATACCTGGAATTCAAATATCCTCTTGGCACCACAGGGACAAGCTGGAATATCCTTTTCTTGAGGGATATTTTCACCAGAAATCCAGATGGGAGCAAGACCTCTGCCATATCTGAGAATCTAAAATCAACAAGGATCATGTCAAAACTGTAAGCACCTTACCCAAGTTTCCATTGATGGCATGCTGAAGATCATGCAGAGAAACCCCACACGTGTTCCCACACCTGATGGAACACTGAGCTGAAAGGCATCTCAGTTCTATCAGTGAACACCACTGATGCCGTCTCAGTTTCTCAAAGTGACTCAGAGGGTATCAAAATTACATTTCCTACATGATACTTGCTACTACCTAACATTAGACTCTTACTCCTATGACTATATGGCAAAGGGACCAAAAATAAGCCCAGGCTTCCTATCACCAGGTTCTGCATCCAAAATGCTGCCCAGAATCTGCTCACCTATAAGGAAACTTAGTTAAAAATTAAAAGGGACAAATGCCCAGTAAAACATGGTATTTTGACAAATATTACAAACAAGGGTAAATTTCATTGTAATAAGCTTGGTATTAATGACTGAGGGGTTTTCTTGTATTTTGTTAAAAAGCATATGCATTGCTAAATACTGCCTTCTTAGTGTTTGGGACCTGGATCTAGTCTTCCTAGAAGCCCCCGGATATTTATTTAATCCCAGTGAGTGGTTTATGTAGCTGAGTTTTCTTTAGTGATTTATTTATTTTTTTATTTTTTTTTTTGAGACAGAGTCTCGCTTTGTTGTCCAGGCTAGAATGAGTGCCGTGGCGTCAGCCTAGCTCACAGCAACCTCAAAGTCCTGGGCTCGAGCTATCCTTCTGCCTCAGCCTCCCGAGTAGCTGGGACTACAGGCATGCGCCACCATGCCCGGCTAATTTTTTATATATATATCAGTTGGCCAATTAATTTCTTTCTATTTATAGTAGAGACAGGGTCTCGCTCTTGCTCAGGCTGGTTTTGAACTCCTGACCTCTAGCAATCCGCCTGCCTCGGCCTCCCCGAGAGCTAGGATTACAGGCGTGAGCCACCGCACCCGGCCTCTTTAGTGATTTATACTTATGGTAAGGGAAGTTAATGTGAATAATGTTAGCACGTCATGTTGGTTTTACTAGCCAAAGGTACCTATTGGAAAATGGGCAAAAATAACTTTTTTTTGTTGTTTTTTGGTCAATGATGTCAAAGCTCTGTGTATCTCAGGCAACATTTCATTCATCTCCTATCCGAGTTACTTCTTCTCATAAAACATGGCCTAAAAATAATACAGTGGGGAGGTATGAGTTCTACTTTACCTGTTCTGGTTCAAGGGCTATTTGAGTTTTAAACTTCTGGAAAATTTTATCTTCCTTGGATTCATGTTTTGCCATGGAATCTAGTTCTTCCTCCAGTGCTTCACCTGAAAAATCAACATAACTATTACGGAAAACGTAATAGTCCCCACAACTTGCCAATTCACACATGCTAAGGAAACCCAGTTTTATAATAATCAGATGGCTTTTCCTATGTATTCATTAAACTTGGATCATCTGAATTTCCAGGTACTCCATGCAGTATTATTTAGGCTCCCATTCAGCAGTTTGCCTTAAAGCTTCAGAAGAACAGAGTGGCCAAGTCAAGGGCGTAGGACTGTGCCCAGCACATCACAGGACACCCAACGGAACGCGAGCCCTTCTTATCACTCCTGCCTGAAGCTGCTGGACTCTTAGTTCAAGTCTCTCCATGTCTCACATATTCCTTTTCCCAGCTAGTACACGCATTCACCTGCTCATCAAATGTTCATTTCCATCTCCACCTTAACTCTTGGAATTCCCGCCACCCTGGGCCACTGCTGTCCCCAATGGGCCAGTGTTTCCCAGTACAACCTTTTGTCTTTGTAACATTGATCAAAATATAACTCTGATAGACTCTGAGTCAGAGAAGCTGAAATAGCTGCTTTGATGGCCTGGGGAAGGCATTCATGGTGCTCACTGGCACCTGCCAGGTCGGATGGCAGAGAAATAAAATGCCTCAGGATCCTGTTCCATCACGTGTATGAGCAGTTTCAGTGCAACCTTCAGGGCTGTGTAAACGCCGTTCCCTCAGGCCATACAGCCTCCTGCCAACCTTTCTCCTGGGAACTCAAACTCAAGTCTCAGGACACAGCTACCTCCAGGAAGGATTTTTCTTTTTCTTTTGGAAAATTCTGAGCATATATAATGATAGAAATACTATAATGAACCTCCATGTACCAATTAGCTTCACCACTATCATTTCAAGTCCAGTGTTTCTTGTCTCCACCACTTCCCCCATCTCAGTTACTCTGAAGTAAATCCCAGGTCACTTCATCTGTCAATAATTCAGGTATGTAGCCCTAAAAGACAAACTTTCCCTTTATTTACCAATTTTCAAAATAATGAGTTTGTTCCCCAGCATCCTACAAAGATGATCAGCAATGTTTTTGGTTTTTTTTTATCATTTTAAACTCATTAAATATATTTTATATATTTTAATCCACTACAGTTAGTAGAACACCCTTGAGGATGTTCAAATTATCCATCTTTTGCCAATAAGAACCTTTCGCATTGGTTCTTGAGTTCTTCTGACATGACCCTATTAACCTTTGATAGCTTCTTAGATCTCTGGTATGACCATGTTCCAATGTTATTTGAACATTTCCTGACCTAGTTCTCGAACCACCACCTCCCAAAAGAGCTTGGAGTTCCATTTAGAGAGAAATGGCATTCAGACACCACCATCTGGGCACCAGGGATACCTACTGCTACTGAGCTGGCCATTATTTCTATGCCTTTATAGTGGATTAAATACATCACAAGTTCATAACTGCTAATTCCAATATAAAGTCAGACCTACAGGCTTGTACTTAATTTCATCCATCAACATCCACTTTTCTGCCGCACCCAACACCTCAGTTCTCAGTAACTCTCTTTTGCTTAGCACCCAGTACACACACAACTACCTCAAAGTAACAACAGCAACATTCTAGCAATAAGTTTACTGAAAATACCCATTTTCTTTCAGTTCTTTTCATTCTTGGGGTATATTACACTAAGGATGTACTGTTCTATATTTTGAAGTCATTTAGAAGAGTTTTTGTGTGGTTATAAAACTAATTCAATACAATTTCACTTACTTTTGATAATTCAGGACTGCTTTTTAAAACACAATTTTACTCTATAACCATACAAAACACACACATGGTTCCACAGTCACATCCATATAAACAAGGCATAGTCAAAGTCTCATCCCTCCTACTCTATGCTCTCTTCTCCTATAGGTGAGCATTTTCATTATTTAACCTTTTTAAAAACAACAATGTACACACATGAAGATGCACACACGGCTGCTGCCAGGCAATTTTTAGTGATGTCACACATCTTCCCATGGCACCCGTATTACTAGTCATCACAAGGACTTTAACTTCCCCAAGTATCATCTGGGCTCCTCCATAAGACTATGAGTGTCGTTGCTTTCTGTTGTGTCTCCCTGATCAAGCACTGTCAGGCATGAAACAGATTCTCAAATATGTGTTTTGGAACACATGACTGTTATGAACTACAAACCAGTAAGTCAACATTTTCATTGAGATTCTATAAATCTAATTTTGTGGTAGTTGTGTGTATAGCTCTAGTTCTAGAGTAAGCAAGATCTAGGCTCAAACTTGAATTGTTAAACTTAACAGTTATGTGCTCAAAGCAAGTTATACCCAGAACCTCAATTTTCTCACCTGCATTATGGGGCAGAGTTTCTGACTTATTGGGCTGTTGTCAGGATTTTAATGAGCTAATGCACAAACAGCCCTTAAACAGCATAAAGTAAGTGCTGGATAAATGTTGGCTACTATTATAAAAGAAGTCTTTTAAGTATTTGGTCAGCATAGGCACTATCCTAAAGTATGAACTCTAGGTAAAGTGACAAAATCAAACTGTTGATTGAGTTGAAAGAGAAACTTTATTTACTTTATTTATTTATTTTCAGACAGAGTCTCGCTTTGTTGCCCAGGCTAGAATGAGTGCCATGGCATCAGCCTAGCTCACAGCAACCTCAAACTCCTGGGCTCAAGCAATCCTGCTGCCTCAGCCTCCCGAGTAACTGGGACTACAGGCATGCGCCACCATGCCCAGCTAATTTTTTCTATATATATTAGTTGGCCAATTAATTTCTTTCTATTTATAGTAGAGACGGGGTCTCACTCTTGCTCAGGCTGGTTTTGAACTCCTGACCTCGAGCAATCCACCTGCCTCGCCCTCCCAGAGTGCTAGGATTACAGGCGTGAGCCACTGCGCCTGGCCAAAAGAGAAACTTTTAAAGGGCCCCTGCTGCATGCCAAACACCATGCTAGGCATTCACTCGCCCGAGCTGAGAAACAGACCTGAGACCCAGAGGAACTCCCCACGTTCCCAGCGTCTTGTGCAGCCCCACCCTCGGGACCATCTGGATTCCTCCTCCAGTCTTTGCAAGAAGTGAGGTCCAGGAACTATGTTTTCACCTGAGGCAATATCTGAAAACTACAGGTTACAGCCTCCAAAGTGAGAATCCTTTCCTCTCAGTCCCTCTCATGTCAACATACTCAGCCCTTTCTCCCAAGCATTGTGTTTAATCACTTGGGGAATGAAGTCCTGAAACTGCTTACTCATGCTGCCCACAATCTCTGTAGCATCTTCCTTTTCCACAACTTCAGGCTTTATCTCATCTTCTGTTTCTATTACAATTTCAAATTCCGGAAAAAGGAAGTTGTGGTCTGGAATTGCATGGTCCAAATGATCTAAAACAAAAAAAGTTATTAGCATCATTAGTAATAATTTAGATGTGAAGATAGTCTGATAGTTTTCTATTTCTGAAGTATTATATTCCATACAGCAACAGTTTTTCCTTTTTTTTTTTTGAGACAGAGTCTCGCTTTGTTGCCCAGGCTAGAGTGAGTGAGCTAGGCATCAGCAACCTCAAACTCCTGGGCTCAAGCAATCCTGCTGCCTCAGCTTCCCGAGTAGCTGGGACTACAGGCATGCGCCACCATGCCCGCCTAATTTTTTCTATATATATTAGTTGCCCAATTAATTTCTTTCTACTTATAGTAGAGATGGGTCTCACTCTTGCTCAGGCTGGTTTCGAACTCCTGACCTCTAGCAATCTGCCCGCCTCGGCCTCCCAGAGTGTTAGGATTATAGGTGTGAGCCACTGCACCAGGCCCCTATTATTATTAATACATACAGTTCTGGCACTTTAAAATGGCATCAAATTAAATGCCTATATTAAGGCAAGGCTGGCAGCATAACTGGGTGAATAAGACCTCACAGCCTCACTTTTATAAAGATATTCATGCTGCCAGTTAGGAAACTTTCAAAATGTATTATATCTTTTCTAATTTTAACTTTAAAGTTAACCTGGACGTAAAATGTTTGGGTTGACAGAGTTATGAAACTGAGCTGCAACTAAGAAAGACGATCAGATGATGACTTACCCGGCTGTGAACACGCCTGCTTGTGTCCTGATCTCCAGTCAAGAGCCTGATGCACCTTACCGCAGTAATGTGCCTTGTGGCACTGAGAGCATGTTTTGGGGCCTAAGCAGCCACAAACCCTGCAGAGAAGAGCGCCAGACTTAAGCTTGAGACACACAGATTCTCCTGTTTCTGGGGGAGGATTCTCAGAAGGTGGCTCATATGAGTAAAAGTCATTTTTCCTGGGTAGCTGATTCCTAAAAACTAAGAAAGAATGAAGAGAAAAACTATAAATACCTTTAGTAAAATGGCAATTCAAATATTTGAGACTCTACTTCACATTAGACTGAAAAGACACCCATTTAAAAAAAAAAGTGAAAAATGAAAGTTTTTGCTTTCAGGCAGCTTATTTTCCGGAAGGGAGAAAAGCTTTTCAAATCCAGAAACTAGATTCTGTCTGGGACACAGAACTGAACTGGCTCCAAGACCTGGTTCCAGGTAATCAAACAAGAATAATTGTTAAGACAGACTGCAAAAAATATAAAAACGCCACTGGGACATATCTTTCTGAAAAATAATTTATATTATCTGACTATACCAACCAAACCTAGTGCCAACTGATTCATCAAAACGCTGGAGGTTACGAAGGAGCGTGGGCATCGTTAGGAGCTTATTCAGTGACAACGAGGGCACCCCCGCAAGGACCCCGCAGAAGGTGCTCCCGGGGACCGCGGGGCGGAAGGCGGCAGCTGTGCTTACCGCCGTCCGCCCTCACCCGCCCGGGAATTCCAGCTCCGCGCGCCCCCAGCGTACATCAGGCAGCACCGCCCCCGCCGGCCCGGGCGCACCTCGCAGGCCGGCGCAGCACGGCGGCTCCCGGCAGCAGAAGAGGAAGAGGCCGCGGTGGAAGGCGTCGGCACGGCCCGGCAGCGGCGCGTACACCTGCAGCAGGAAGGCGAGCGGACGGCCGCACCGCGCGCAGGCCAGGTCCCCGGGCCCCGGCAGCCCGGCCTCGCCCAGCCACGCTGGCCGCCCGCCCACCTTACTCGGGAACTGGTCGCTGCGCAACCGCCACGGCGGCGCCTCCTCGGCGAAGCCGAGCTCCACTCGCGAGGCCAGCGCGGCCATGGAGCCGTAGCTCACCGCCCGGCCGGAACGCGGAAGTCGCCACCGGAAGGGAGGGCGGGAGGCGAACAAGGCGTCGATGAGAAGCGATTGGAGGACGGGGTGAGGGGGCGGGACAAAGGGCCCGGCATGGTCCCGGCCCTGGCGCCTCTACGTCCGGTCCGCGCCATGTGCCTCCTCGGGGCGGGCGACTGGTAGGGAGAGCCGAGTGGGGCTGTCCCCTCAGACCAGCCGGGGATCCTGTCCCCGGGCTTGGGACACCCGGGTGCCGGGTGGCGCTGTGCGAGGAGTAGGCGGTGGGAGGCGACGGGGCGGTAGGGCGGGTAAACCGAGGCCCGTCCGCGGGCCGCGGGCGGGGCTGCCAGACAGCACAGGGGCAGGGGCAGGGTTAGGACGCGGGCTGGAGAGGAGCAGGTGCCTCGCCGTTTTTCGGTTCTCCGGGGCCTCATCCCGCGGCGGGAGGGGGGTGTTGCTGCCCACCCACGTTCATGTGCCCGGTGGCCAAGAAACTGAGTCAGCAGGTTTTCTGGCTGAGAAAGCCTCTTTATTCCGTGCACCCTAGCGGGAGACGGGAGAAATTTCTCACATCCGCCTCCCTGCGAATTCGGGAGACTGAGCTTTTTAGGACAGTTTGGCAGGCAAGGAATTAGGCAATTAGGTTTGTTAATTAGGGCAAAATTATAGAGAAGTAGAAGTCATCTTGTGTTGTTTTAGTCCCTGGGGTCACAATTCCAGTTGCGTCAGTTTCTTGGTGTGGGTTAATCAATCCAATGGAATGCTGAGCCCGGAAGATACTTTAAAAACTACCTTTAGGTTTTGAAAAGGTGATGTCATCTCTGGAAAAAGTTAAGAATCTTTATGGGCACCAGCTATGAGAGAAGTTAAGAATATTTATGTCCACTAGCCGCGTGGCCCTGGAGTGGCAATTACAGGGGGACAGTTACTAATTATTTTTAGCTAGGCCTGTGCATTATTTCATGATTTATGAAAAATAAGCATACAACAATTTAGGAACAGAATTTTGGCATACGTAAGGGTTATCAGTGTGTTCCTTGAATTATCTCTTTCCCAAAAGTGTTGGGGACAAAGTTATTTAGTATTGTCCCACTTATATGCCACCTATTAATGGTTTAACTGGGTGGAAAAACTGTCTGGCTTATGCTGTATGATTTAAGGAGTACTTTGGAACCTAATTGAAATACTTTTCAACATTGAGTAAAATGTTGGTCAGTTTTGTCAGGACCATCCTCCAGGATATTTTAATTACTTAGGTATCAAAAGCACCTTGTCAGATGCTGTGACTGGGCTGGTGGTTCTGCAGCAGAGGCCAACAAGTAGTTATGCACAGACTTCAGCAAAATCAAAATACATCGACTTGGCCTAAAGACCATAAGCAGTAAAAGCCGTTACTTTGAAATTTTCTTCAAATTTATTCTTCAAAATTAAAGGCTTGATTTTCCTAAGCTAACGTTCTATTTGAGCCACTGAAATGGTGAAAGATGCTATTTTGATAAAAGGACGACTGTGTACTCTTTCCCCTTTGTGTTGGTGCATTTGCCTTTATTTGGAATCACAAGAGATAGTGAGAGACATACTTGGAGAGCTTAATTCAGAAATCATTTTGTCTTGCTTGTGTAGAAATCAAAGGAATTTAAGGAATTCCTTACCATGGTTCTTGTCTTGCACCCGGTTATCGAAGGTCTGTTTCACCGACCAAGCTCCTTGCAGGGGTGTTGAGCCCTCTGGGAGGAGGGCACCCTAAAGGCTTCATCCCCTGGAAAAGTCCCACCCTCAACGCCGTCCCCTTGGGGATTCAGTTTCCAGCACATGAACTTGGGGAAGCACATTCAAACCACACCAGGACCCCATGGCGTAACACAAAGATTAGAATAGTTTTAAGTAAAGCTTATTTGCTTCTCCAGGAGGTGAGGGGCTTGGCATGAAGGCCAGAAAGAAGTGCCGGCCCCTGAGGCTAAGGGGCTGAGAGTCTGTATGGGAAAGAAAAGGAAATAAAAAGGCGATTGTTGCCAGCTGATAGCAGAAAATGGCTTTATCTGTTTTCCCCCTTTTTCCTCTTCTCTGTGAGTCTGGCTTATGGGCTGCGTATGGCGAAAGCTGGTGCAGAAGCATCAAACTCCTATCTGTTCAGATTGTTAACAGAAAAAAGCCAAATTATTGATAAAGGCCATATGGGGGGAGGGGGAAAGGGCATTTATTGAAACCTTAAAATCTGTACCCCCATCATATGCCGAAATAAAAAGAAAAAAGCCAAATTCTGTAAAGTAATTTTAAAGAGATTTACTCTGAGCCAAATTTGATGACCATGACCCAGAGCCATGCCCAGGAAGCCTTGAGCAAGTGGACTCATTATGGTTGGATTACAGTTTGGTTTTTTGTTTTTGTTTTTTGAGACAGAGTCTCACTCTGTTGCCTGGGCTAGAGTGCCGTGGCGTCAGCCTCCCTCACAGCAACCTCAAACTCCTCGACTCAAGTGATCCTCCTGCCTCAGCCTCCCAAGTAGCTGGAACTACAAGCATGCGCCACCATGCCTGGCTAATTTTTTCTATATATTTTTAGTTGGCCAATTCATTTCTTTCTAATTTTTTGGTAGAGACGGGGTCTCGCTCAGGCTGGTTTAGAACTCATTACCTTGAGCGATCTGCCCGCCTCGGCCTCCCAGAGTGCTAGGCGTGAGCCACAGTGCACAGCCTACAGTTTGGTTTTATACATTTCAGGGAGACAGGGGTTACAGGGAAAGTCATAAATCAGTATGTGGGAGGCATACCTTGGTTTGGCCCAAAAAGGTGGGCCATCTCGAAGCAGGGGGTGTAAGGCTGGTGGCCGGCCCCCTCCCTTCCCAAGATCAAAAAAGAAAAGGCTCATGAGACCAGACCCACCAAGGACGACTGCCCCAATGAAAACTACCACTCCTGGATAAGAAAGTTTTGGCTCCTGAATTCCACAAATACTGCCAGCCCCTCTTACTTCTCAATGACCACCAAAGGTTTCCCCAGCTCTTCCCGCCAAAAGTTGCCTGGCCCAAATGGTATAAAAGGCCTCACCCACTTCAAACAGAGGCGACTTCTGGGGCCCACCCTCTCTTGGGACCCCAGAACCTCATCCAGGAGCGCTAAATAAAGCCTCGTTGTTTGGCCCCACTCTTTCTCTGCATCTGTTTCTTTCGCTGCCGAAAAAACATGACATGGGGCTTACAGGTTGTAGGTGAGTTTAAAGATCCTTTGGCTCATAAGTGGTTAAAGACCTGATGCTTTTTCTAAAGGCTTGGAATGTTTTAACATAAGGAGCTGTTTATCAGAGACAAGCCACTGGACATAGATTTGTTGTGTAAATTGAGGACCTGCAGGTTTGTCTTGCATACCCTTAGGCTTGTTAAAGGGTTACAAAGGATGCCCCAGAAGAGGGAGTCGGGCATGATGAGGCTTGTCTCACCTCCTTCCTCCTGGCAGGCAATTTAGATTTAGGATATTCCTTTGGCCACAAGGGGGTCCATTCAGTCAGCCAGTGTGGGGGTTTGGGCCTTAAAATTTTATTTTAGTTCACAAGATCTTCTCAAGTGCTCTGAAGACAAACTTCACAGGTGGCTAGTCTTAGAGACAGTGGGTTAAGCCCTAGATGGTCAATTGAAGAGGGGCTGCTATGCTTCCATCTTTCCCTTCAAAGGGGCAATTATGTTTTCTCTTTTTTTGTTAATTTTTGTCCGTTTGTTTATTGGCAAGGCTGTCTGTCCTATCACATAGTAATCAGGTATTTAGGATGTACCATGTGCGCTTTCCACGTTCCTCTTTCAGTCCTTGGAACCACAGCAGCGGGTTTTACCCATCAGCCTCACTTTACCCGGACATTCAGTTCGGTGTCTGAGGGGCGCCCAAGATCACACGGAGGAGCTGGGAGTCCAGCCATGGTGCGCAGTCCCACGGCAGATAACCGGCCCTGACATTCCCGCAACTGCCCGAGGTCTCCTCTCTACGCACCCTAGAGCCTGGGGGCGGGGCGGGGGCGGCAAGAATTGGGAAGCGGGCGGAGCTGCCGTTGCCATGGCTGTGACCTCGGGTGTGGGGAGTAAGCCGGGCCACTGACCCGTGGGCGCGCGCACGCACGCACACGCAAACATACAACATGCGCGCGCGCGCACAGCCGCTCCCCTCAGACCCCCGGCAGGCGCGGTTGAGCTAAAGGGGCGGGAGCGTCAGACCCGAGGGAGCTGCGCCTCCGGCGGCCTAAGGAGCGCTGCGGACCCCGGCCGCCCGCCCCTGCCCGGGCGGGAGGGAGGTGAGCGCGGCGGGAGGGGAGGACCCCGAGCTCGGCCCCGGCCGCACCCCCTTCCGGGCGCTGACGGGCTCTGCGCGGCCTGTGGGGCTCGGCGGGGCGCGGCCGGACAGGCGTTGGGCGACCGGGTGGGGCGGGGACGGCGGCGGGAAGACTTCGGAAACGGAATGCTCGTTGGGCGTTGCGGTACCTGGCCTCGCGCCGGGCGCGGGGCAGGCGAGGGCGGCGGTTAACGGGCGCTCGGGCGAAGCCGGGCCGAGAGTGCACAGGTCCGCGCCGGGCGTGGTGTGCGCACGTTGCCAGGCCGCGTTTGAGGTTGGTTCTTTATGCTTCTCGCAGGAGCAGACGATAGCAAAGCTCCTGGGGAGAGGGAGCTGCTTGCACTGTGCGTGGTTCCCGTGCGTGCAGGAGGTAGGTTCTTCTTGCGCACACACCTCACACAACACTGAGTGTGTGCCAGTGGGCTTTAAAAACAATAAATACAGAACTCTGAAGCCCTGAAACTAGGTACTGTTAGTCTGACGAGTTTCAGGTGTCAGGCTTCGTGCTCCCTGGGAGGAAGAAAGAAGGACGCCGAAGTACTTGACGTGCCAGCTGTCACTGCGGGCCAGGAATCGCATTGACCCAGAGCCACCGCCGGTTTGGAGCCTCCCTGAGAGTCACGTAGAGGGCCGATTGTGAATAACCGGCGCTTTTGTTGGCTTTTTGCCTTTTAACCTTTCCACTATCGTAATGTATGCGTGTATGCTACTGCTTACCAAATGTTAGAATGAATTATTCGTAGTTAAACTCTCCACTTTGAAATGATCTGGCACTAAGTCTGACATACTTTCTTTTTTTAATGTTTGAAAGTTGTTTGGAAATTTCAAATATAATGGCTTCAAACTGATAGGCATTTTTTGAGTGTAAATCTAGCATAAAATATACCAAGTGGGTAATATATTTTAAAATTTAAATCTCATTCTAGAAAATGTCCTGGTTTGCAAAAGGCACAGGATCAGGACAGCTGAGGAAATGGCAAGAGTCTGCAGCGATGGGCAAGAGAACAGCCTGTGAATGACCTGGCAGCCTCAGCACCTGCAAACTTGCTTCTGTCCTAAGCATTTCTGATATGTGGGTGCTTTTTGTGTTGATAACGGATCTTTGGCTATTTGTCATTTTCAAAAAATTCAACAGAGGATCCTCACTTTGAAATTGCATCCTCGTGGCCTGTAGCCAGGGAGGGTAGGAAAGGTTTTCAGTACAAGATGTATGGGTAGGTTAGTCAGTTTGGGATCTTGTTAGTTCTGTACAGCCACTTTTGTACCTGGTTCTGTATGTGAGGTCCTTTTACATCTTGCTCTGATTGGCCATTGCTGACTTACGTCTGTATACAATCCTATAATGGGGTACTTAACCTAAAACAAACCTAAAATTATTTCCTGTAATATATAAATACAATTTATGTTTTTCTTTCTTCCTTTTTTTAAAGGGAATAGAATTGGAACAATCAGCATTTACACAGCATATCCCCCTTCTTTTGGTCTTTTGGACCTTGGTGGCATCATGGAGGTCCTATGTTCATGGAGATGAACAGTCTTGAACAGTTTACTCCAGGTGATAAACACATGTGGGAAAGTAATTTGAGGTATGCATATCTTGATTTTTTTTTTCTCTTCCCACTTCTGTTTACATGGCAAGAACATATCTTGATTTTTTTTTTTTTTTTTTTTTTTTGAGTCAGAACCTCACTCAGTTGCCCGAGCTAGAATGCTGTGGCCTCAGCCTAGCTCACAGCAACCTCAAACTCCTGGGCTCAAGCGAGCTTCCTGGATCAGCCTCCCGAGTAGCTGGGACTACAGGCATGCCCCACTGTGCCCGGCTAATTTTTTAAATGTATTTTTAGTTGGCCAATTAATTTCTTTCTATTTTTAGTAGAGACGGGGTCTTGCTCTTGCTCAGGCTGGTTTGGAACTCCTGACCTTGTGGGATCCACCCGCCTTGGCCTCTCAGAGTGCTAGGATTACAGGCGTGAGCCACCTCGACCAGCCTAAAGAGCACTTCTTAAGCATGTCTGTAATTAAATAAATTGTGTGGATCAAATTATGTATTGACAGGTTTAATTTCTATCCAGTGCTCTCTCCCTCTTTCTCCTTTTAATGATTGTCAGCAGTTAGCCTCTAGCTACATGCACTGTATCCAGCTTAATGCATGATAGAGTGGTCCATGGTGGTAGTGGTGGTTTTCTAGTGTTTTATCTGATGGAGAGAAGAAATAATAACTATCTGAGATCTTTCTGTTCCCTTAGTATTTATTAAACATTGTTTGAACATTTGTTTTCTATCTGCTACATATAAGGCAAATGATACTTTAAAAATTCTTGAGACTGTTTAAGAAGTTATGTTCCCCACAGATGTTAGTACTCGGAAGGAATAGGGAAAAGGTAGAGAGGTTGTAGGTATTAGTTTATATTGTATAAAGTAAAGCAGTTTTACTATAAAACATGTTAAATTAATCATCTTATACCTTCTCCCTAGGATTATAGCCATGTGATTTAGTTAGCCCTTCTCACTGTAAAGAGTCAAGAGTTGTGAATTGCCAGGAGAGTCCTAAGTGTATCTTTAATCAGGTTATTGCTTAGAACATATTAGATGACTATTAGGAAGATAAGCAGTTTTCACACTGATGATCATTTTTAGTGGTCACATTTTATAAGTACCAAATTTTATAAGGTGGGAGAGAACAGATGCCACAGCTATAGGTGGGGGAAAGATTTTCAGACAAAAAGTCATTGTTAAGAAAATTCAAGGTTGGCTGGGCGGTGGCTTATGCCTGTAATCCTAGCACTCTGGGAAGCCCAGGTGGGAGGATTGTTTGAGCTTAGGAGTTTAAGACCAGCCTGAGCAAGAGCAAGACCCCATCTCTACTAAAAATAGAAAGAAATTCGCTGGACAACTAAAAATATATAGAAAAAATTAGCTGGGCATGGTGGCTCATGCCTGTAGTCCCAGCTACTTGGGTGGCTGAGGCAGTAGGATCGCTTGAGACCAGGAGTTGGAGGTTGCTGTGAGCTAAGCTGATGCCATGGCACTCTAGCCCAGGCAACAGAGTAAGACTCTGTCTCACAAAAAAAAAAAAAAAAAAAGAAAAAAAATTCAAGGTTAGCAATCTTCAACAAAATTAGTGATACCAGTTACATTCTGTTATCTTCCGGCACTGAACCAGTTTTGAATATTCTGTGGCCATAAATACACTAGTATTTGTCCAGCCAGGATAAGTTTAGAAAATGTGATTATTTAAATTATAGTTTTAACTCTAGTGAAAAAGTTGATAATTTATCTTCCTTTTTATATTATAAATTTTTGTCATTAATTTTGAAGACCTAGTACTATATGCTTAGTTCCCATAAGATTTATAATGGAATGACTTTATGTAGGTATACTTTTTTTAATCTTTTATACAGTATTTTTACTGTTCCTTTTTCTATGTTTAGGTACACAAATGCTTACAATTGTCTACAATATTCACTACAGTAATATATTGTACAGTTTGTATCCCAGGAGCAACAGGCTGTACCATATAGCCTAGGTGTGTAGTGAGCTATACCACCTAGGCTTGTGTAAGTACACTCTATGATGTTCACGCAGTGATGAAATTGCCTAATGACACATTTCTCAGAATGCATCCACATTGTAAGTGACACATGACTGTATGTAAAAGTATTTAGTAATGCCTGGCAAAACATAAATGTTCAATAAATATTAATTTCTTTCCTTTCTATGAAATCCCACAATCATGAATGTAACCATGTTGAAGCTTAACATGTTCTCATATGGCTTCCTAAAACTGAATGTTGTTATTTATCAAACATTTCCCTGGATAAATACTTAATGAGCTTCTGCAGTGTTGCTTTTAGTAGTGGAGGGGTGTGTTAGCCCAGCTGAGTCAAATCCTGGTGAGAGTCCATATTGTGTCACTTGACTTTTTTCATCTGTTTTTATAGTAAATAGTTTTTAGTTTTTTTCATAGAGCATCCCTCACCTAAATTTTTTACTCCTCTTTTATAATAAGTAGTGTGTTCTACTTTAGTTTTCCTGTGGGGATGACTTGTTTAATAGATTTGGGGACTCATTGTGTTGCTGTTGTAGAATCTCACAAAGGCACTTTTGTGGCAGCCTCTTTTGGTTTTCAAGGACATGACTATTTCACCTCTGGAATGTGATTCTCTACCTTGGTGCAAATGTTAATAAGTTAAATGTATATCAAATAAGAATTTTAATTCAGCTCATCATATGTTTATGTATTTAAATTTAAGAGTCAAATTGATATAATTGGTTACATTACTCATTTGCTTTGATTTGAGATGCCAAGTGATTGAAAACAATTTTAATTTAGAAGTGAATTACCTTGCTTATTTGAATGTATTATTTTTGCATAATTTGAACTAATTTAATGTGCAGTTTTTCTTTTAAATGATGTCTGCTGAGATACTCAAAGCCACATGATTAGTGGAGTCATCCTGAGTATTTCTCTGTTGCATAGGGTTGGAAAATATTAAAATACAACTTGTGAAGCAGACAGAGTCACAAGCTTGATCCTTTCTCCATTAATATATATTTTTCTGTTTTGTTTTGTTCTTACCTCATTCTGGGCTGCTTTGGGTTTTCCAGAGGTATCACACTTTGCATTCGGCAATGGGGTGCCCTCGTTTTTCACTCTGTCCTGATTCTGTGCCATTTTCACTGGATGTTTGGCTCACCTCTCAGTTCTGCAAAGGAAAAGAACTTGGTTATTCACTTGGTGAGTCATGGTGAGACTCCCAGGGCAATGCTCTTGATTGGGACTGAGGTTCCTTCAGCAAATGTTGCTTTTTTTTTTTTTTTTTTTGAGACAGAGTCTCACTGTGTTTCCCGGGCTAGGGTGCCATGGTGTCAGCCTAGCTCACAGCAACCTCAAACTCCTGGACTTAAGCAATCCTTTGGTCTCAGCCTCCCGAGTAGCTGGGACTACAGGCACGTGCCACCATGCCCAGCTAATTTTTTATGCATATATTTTTAATTGGCCAATTTATTTCTTTCTATTTTTAGTAGAGACAGGGTCTCGCTCTTGCTCAGGCTGGTTTCGAACTCCTGACCTTGAGCGATCTACCCACCTCGGCCTCCCAAAGTGCTAGGATTACAGGCGTGAGCCACCATGCCCGGCCAAATGTTGCATTTTGATGATGCATTTTAACGAGCTTTTAAAAAAAATTTGGACACCATACTACCTAGCTGGAGTGGCTAGAACCTGTAATGCTAATGTTTTCAGTCTTCAGGTCCTGGGTTATGAAATGATTCTGGGAACTGTGACAAGCACTTATGAAGCAATGAAACAGACAGTATTAGAATATATTGCCTATAATAAAGGTAATTAAAGTGGCATAAAATTTTTGTATTTTGTGTGTGTGTAACTGCTTTATGATAAAAAATTATATCTATTTTGTGAGTTGCTGTCCATAGAGTTTGAAAGCCACTGCCTTGGATTTAAAGCTGTATGATGCAATCTAATGATATGGCAGTTTGAAATGACAGTATGTTTGAAATATAAGTGTAGATAGCTTTTAGTTACATATTTTAGAGGAACTGGCAGGTTGCTTTTGTGACTGAGAAGCCAAACTCTCATCATGATAGGGCATTTCCCAAAGAGCCAAGACTAGTTAACCCCATGCCATTGGGGTTTGTAGGAACCCAAATACTGTGTCTCTGAGAGGGTCTGAGGCAAAAGGTCACTCACCAAAAGGTATTGCTGCTGCCTACCAAGGTTGTCTGTTGGCAGTACTGTGTCTTACCCAGCCAGATAAGAAGCGCCCAGTTTTCCCAAGGTCTTGGTCTGCCAGGATGATGGCATCACACTTCTTCCCCATTAGTAGGACCTGTACTTTGCTTGGATGGCTGGGAAATTCAAATCCTTAGCTTTCCTCTTTGTCAGAGAACCTCCCCTTTCTTTCCCACTGGGTCTCAGGAAGATGGGAGGCAATGTGAAAGGTTATTTCTGTTGTATTCATACCATGTGAGTCTGTGCTTTTGTGTAAAGGCCTACTCATTTAGAGGAAAGTTCCATCCCTAGAGTTAGAAAATTAATCCTTAGAGTAATGCAGCATCACACTTTGAATCTGCTAATGACCTTTGGAGAGATGGCCCATGTGTCTCCCATTGATAGATGCCCTTTTGAGAGGATATGTGATATCCTCACCAGGACTTGACTCAGCTGGACTAATACACTTCAGGACCAAAAGAATCCTTAGGGCAGGATGTGACCCCTCACTTTTCTGACTCCTTTTTTTTTTTTTTTTTTTTGAGACAGAGTCTCGCTTGTTGCCCAGGCTAGAGTGAGTGCCATGGCGTCAGCCTAGCTCACAGCAACCTCAAACTCCTGGGCTCAAGCAATCTTTCTGCCTCCGCCTCCCAAGTAGCTGGGACTACAGGCATGTGCCACCATGCCCGGCTAATTTTATATATATATATTTTAGTTGGCCAATTAATTTCTTTCTATTTATAGTAGAGACGGGGTCTCACTCTTGCTCAGGCTGGTTTCAAACTCCTGACCTCGAGCAGTCCGCCCGCCCCGGCCTCCCAGAGTGCTAGGATTACAGGCGTGAGCCACCGCGCCCGGCCACTTTTCTGACTCTTGCCAATTGAAGTTCCCCCAACTTCTACTAATTTTGCAATCTACTTTCTTTTCCATTAAAATATCTCCCTATTGAACTCAGTAGTAGAATTTGCCATGTTGTGTCACTTGACTTTTTTCATCTGCTTATAGTAAATAGTTTTTTTCATAGAGTAGCCCTCACCTAAATTTTTTACTCTTTTATATTGCATTTGTTTTGACCTTGTTATTGCTGGAAATGGACTAAACTCCTTCATCCCTGCTCCTCCCATCCCCTGCCTCCCAGTCTCCATCAACCTTTTCCTATTATCCAGGTTTTTAAATAGGCACTCAAGGTGGCAGTCAACAAAGATTGAATCTTTACATTTTTTTTTTACACAAAACATTTTCAAGAATAGCTATAACCTCTTTTTTAAGGACCCTTTAAAGGAATAAGGAAGCAAGGTAGGTAGATTTGTTAACAACATTAGAATTTCATGCTAAAATATTTTCTACAGTTCAAAACATGGCATAAGGCTTATTTAAGGGGAAAGGCCTTCTTATAAGTTGTCTTGCAAAGTCTTAGGTTATTCTTGAGAGCAGTGTTATGGAGAGGAGGTGGGACCCAATTTTTCCCCAGTGCTTAGTTTAAATGAGAAAAGTAAGTGGTCTCCCAAAGCGCTAGAATCGGTTTTTCCCTGAGCCTCTCCTTGGTTGTAAATTCTTACAATCACAGAATATAAAGGAGAAAGAAACTTGGTGCTTATTCTACTTGTCTTATTTTACATAGTAGGAAATTGAGGCTCAGGGATAGGAGGTCATTAAGATCATCCAATTATTTAGCCGATTACTTGAGTAGAGTGGTTTTAGAAGGGATGCAGAAAAGTAGAAGTATTGGAGAGGCATTTAGGAATTGTAATCGTTGTCCCTGAATTCATGGTGGGCTGAGGGAGAGGGAAGATTCCAGGATGCTGCTTGGGCCTGTAGCTTTAGTGTCCGTGCAAATGAGAGACGTTTGTTTTGAAGGAGAACATAGGAGGAAAAGCGTATCTGCAGAGAAAGATTGTGAGTTTAGTCTCCAAGCGCTGCATATCAGGTACCTTTGTGAATCCAAGACAAGGCATTACAATTGAATATACACGGGAGGAAAACCATGAGAGTCTTGAGTCTTGAAAGTTGCATAAAGAGAGTATTTCCAAGAGGAAGTTATCATCCACAGCCTCTGTGAAGCCAATGAAGATAAGGGTGGAAGTATGTCCATTTGGCTTAGCTATCAGGAAGTTGGTGGTGACCTTGGGAAGTGGCATTTCAGTAAAGTTTGAGGCTGAAGGCCAGACTACAGCGAGCTGAGCAGTGAGTGGGAGGTTAGTGAGGAAGTAGACACAGGGAATGTAAATAACTGTCAAAAAGTTTGGGACAGTCAAGGGGAGTAGAGAAGTAGGGTAACACCTGCAGGGGAAGATGGAGAGGGATGATTTTATTTGATATGGGAGAGAGCTGGGCATGTTTAAGTGCCAATGGTAAAGGGCCAGTTTTTCCACTGAAGTCTTTTTTCTGGCTTGTGCCTTCTGTCTAAAGGTCTGTGCAGTTCCTAGAAGTCGTGGAGCAGATCTTTTGGGAGCATCAGAGTTATCTTTTGCTGATCCGTTATCAGCTAACTCTACTATTTTTTTATTTTTTGTGTGTGAGATAGAGTCTGTCTCTCCCCATCTCCCCCCCATGCCCCAGGGTAGAGTACAGTGGTGTCATCGTAGCTCACAGCAACCTCAAACTCCCCAGCTCAGGCAATCCTGCCTCAGCCTCCTGAGTAGCTGGGACTATAGGCACCACCATGATGTTTGGCTAATTTTTTTTCTATTTTTAGTAGAGATAGGGTCTCACTCTTGCTCAGAGCTGGTCTGGAACTCCTGAACTCAGGTGATCCTCCCGCCTTGGCCTTCCAGAGTGCTAGGATTACAGGCTTGAGCCACCATGCCCAGCCGTCATTATCAGCTAACTCTTGACCACCAGGTCTTGTTATCAACCTACAGGCCTACCTTCCTCTTGGACTATTTCCTGCATGCTCATAATCACATTAGAAGAAAAGCATCTCTCCAATTTGTTAGTGGTGTTAAAGAGAGCAAAACCAATTTTCCCTTAGTTCAAATCGGCCTATATGTGAGTTCAAACCGGGAAATTAACATTTTAGACCAGTTTTTTGTAAAAGATTTGCATAAATTATTATTTATGATGAATATGAATTACATATTTGGTAACTGGCTCTGATTTACTTTACTATTATTTATTGATTACCTACTATGTATCAGATACCTAGCATGAAACATCAAGAGACCTAAAAGTCTTGATTTTTAAGTATTTGATATTTTGAAGGTAAATTTCTGGGATTTAGATGCTTTTCTACATTTTTGGTTTAGTAGTCTCTGCTATGTCAAAACAATGTTCTTTAAGTTAAGCTAAAACTCTTTTTATGGATACCCTACATCCACATTCCCTTTCTACTTCTAAAATGGGCCTTGCTGTGAGATTGTTAGTAGAAAAAAGGGTCCTACTACTTCCTGTTGAAAATTGAAGGAAAGTTGACCCAGCTTAGCCCAAATTAGCCCCTTGGGATCTCTCACCAAGGGTATGACATCCTGAGGGAGGGATGCACACAATCCCAGGGGTGGTTGAGAATCATCCTGGTCATGGCAGCAGTGCTGGGTGTCCATGCCACTGACCTGACCAGACCGCTCCTGGGGGCTGGCCTTGGCTGTCTGGCCTCTCTCAATTTCTTCTCTCCATTGAGCATGCTTCTTGTTGCTTCACTGAGCTCTCTAAGACCCTTCCAAGAACTTTTCTGCTTAGATTAGCTTGAGACAGTTTAGGTTGTTTGCCATCAAGAACTCTGACAGATTCAGAAAGTCACCATGGAATAATAAAGCAACTAACAGAAACATTTATTTTCAGCTAACATTTGTGAACTGTAGGTATTATGTGAAATGCTTTCAATAAATGGTGTCACCAAATCCTCAAAACAGCAGGGTGATGCAGGCATATGGGTCTGTTTTTTCAAGAATCACCTCAAGGGCCTCCTCTTCTGTGAAGGCTTTTCTGACCTCTGTCAGATAGACTTGATTCTTCCTTTGTGTCCATTCTGTGTTCTATACGGGAGAGAATTGTGTGTATATGTATATATATATAATATAGATGATATATAATCATAAAGATGAATAATATATAAGAATGTAATATAGTATGTAATACACAATAAAATATATATACATATTAAGTATATATGTAATTTTTATTTCCTTACCACTTATTATGCTCTTACTATGTGTGTCAGATACTACGCTTAGCAGTTTACTCACATTATACCATTCACACTAGAACTCTATAAATTAGATTTATTATCTACTTTACAAAAGAGGAAGTGAGAACAAGAAAGATTATGTAATTATTTCAAGATGTATCTGTGAGTCACAGAGTTGTGATTTGAACACACTTTGTGTTGGTTGGTTTTGAAAATCCAGTGCATCTTCTGTTAACACTCTTATGCTGCCTGCCCTCTGACACTACACTTCTGTGGGCGATGCTTCCCTCTCAGACTGGACTGAGGCAGAGCCTGCATTGTACTTGTCTTTCCCCCGCCTCAGTTGCCTAGGAGGAAAGTAAATCTGTCACTTCACTCCTGCCACTTCACCCATTCCTGTGTCCACAGCAGCCTTCACTAGTCAACCAATGATTATACTTTGTCCCCATGTGACATCTGAAGAATCCATCTCCCCTGTTCTGTAGGAAGTCACTCCTGAGTGGTTAGAGATAAACCCTATTAGCCATTCCTGGCCTAGAACAATGCCTCTCATGCAGATGTGCTCAGTAAATTGTGTGTTGCTACTTTCTCCATTTTACAGATGGAGAAATAACGATGATGGCAGAAGTAAATGAAAAGCCATTTGCCTGCAGATGTCAGGGCCCACTTCATTGGTTTTTTGTGAGGATTAGTTGAGTCAACCTGCATAAGTTTCTTCAAATGGTGTCTTGGCACAGGTAAGTTAGCTATTTTTATTACCACTACTCAAAACACACAGGTTTACTTAACACACAGGTTGTATCCGAGAGAGGTAAATCCACTGAGACAGAATGGATGTTGGTGAGTGTCAGGCTGGGGGAGGGAGCCTTTGGTTCTCAAAATAAAGTGCTCTTTTTCACATTAATATGTTGCTTTAGAAATTGGGAAAACGCCTTCCTCACTGGAGGATACTTGTGTAATTGTGTGGAGCAGATGGAGAAGCGTTTGGCACCTTAGGAAAACAAGTGAATTGTTAAAGTCGTCCTCCATAGTTTAACAAGCAGTTTATGACAACAGTGGACTGTAAACAATAGGAACTTATTGTATGCTTAGTAACCTGTTCCTGTATATAGTAAACATGACTCAAGGGGAGGGATGGGCCAGAAGGGAGCACCTGAAGGTTCACAGAAACTTCTCATCCTGCACCTTGGGTCCGTCTTTACTGACTGCAGAGGAAACTCAAAGACTTGAGAATTGGGTCTATTAGAAGCAGAGTAACCTTATTCGCTTGTAAGCAGCTCCACTGCACTGGTGACACCCACTAGTCTAGGCTAAGTAGACCTTAGTTTAGGGTACAGTGGGAAAATCCTGGTCAGAACAAATACCTCCGATCTTCCACTGATGGTCTCTGCAGTTTGCTTTATTGATAACTCTGTAAATGTGTTGTAGCAACAACCCAGTTCATAAACAGAGCCACCTCATCACTCATTAATAAACAGGAAGATATTAATAAACAGCTACCTCTTTAAGGCAACTTAACATAAGAATTTAGCTAAGAACAAGAATTGCAATAGATATCTAATAATAGGAGCTCACTCTTCTTCAGTTTCCATTTGTAGTATTTGCCTTTTGAGATCTTGTTTTGGTGATTATTTTCTATCATATATTTATCCATATTTATTTTAGGCTAATAAAATTTTGTTTAAATATAATACATCTTCTACATTTCTAAGGCTGATTTTATTGATCTGAAGTTAATTTTTTTTCCTTGAGGAAGGTAATTCCATTTTTTTTGCCAAAGACTCAATGGAAAAATTCTGTGTTCTACACAATTCTATCAGTCTTCAGTAATTTTAATATTCTATATATTATAATTCCATTTGCCATAATTCTGAAATTGAAATATTTTATATGTGCTACATATTTGCCATTTGCCAGGGGCAGTGAGCTCTTTACTTATTTCTGCTCTGTGCCTAGCATTGCCCGGGCTTCCCCACTTGCTGGTGCCATCCAAGTCTCAAGCAAGAGAAGCTCAGCTCCAACTCTTTCTGGGCTCAGGCAAACACTCCTTCTGCATTTCCCCAGCTGGCCTGGGTGTGCTTACGGCTCCCGCCATCTCTGTTGGTTTGATATTTCTTGTCCCGCCCACCTCTTCTAAACAGCCTCTTCATTGAACTCTCTTCAGTTACTCTCTTTGAGCTATTGAGTTTCTTACAGGCCTGAAGACTGATGCATGATTTAAGTGTAGAAATATGCTCACAGAAAGTATATTGAAGATACACATATGACACTTCGCATTCATAGAGTAAGTTTATTAAGTACACTGAATTCAGTAGGGTACAATTGGGAAACAGCTTTTTTCTTCACATTAAAAATGTAACGTAAAACTTTTAAAAATGTTTTCACAACTAACTTAAAATGATGTACTTTTGGACTTTTCTTCCTAACTTCTTGAAAATAGCTTCAGTACGGCCATTTGAGGATATTATTAAAGAGTGGTGTTTTCAGGTATTAGGAAGCCCAGTTCAGTCTAAAGTAAACCTTCCATCCTGTGTACAACTTAAAAGTTTCCTATAAGCTCTCCACCCTCTGCCTAGCTCAATCCTGACCCAAAGCTTGAGAATCAGCAGTGGGAAAGATGAGCAGTATCTGCTCGTTTACTCTTCTTCCCCTATTCATCCCAAACTCCTAGATTGTTGCTCTTGGTATATATCTACTTGGAAAATAAGATACCAGCCCCGCCCCCTTTCTGACAAGCACCGGCACTCTGAGTTACTTGAAAGTCTTCCTTGGTTGACTAAGGGTGGGTGAGACCATCCCTGTCTCATCTCCACATATAAATTTACTTCTGTAGAACTTACTTTCTAACAAATCTCTACTTTTCTCTCACAGAATGCTGGGGAGGTGAGCAAATGGATAATTTTGTCTTCCTCTGAAAAATTCCTGAGAGGGCTGTGTAATGCCTCTGTGGGAGGACATTGTCACCTGTGTCAACAGCTTTGAGGCTTAGCTAAACTTATGAGAGGTAGGGAAATGTCTGATCATATATCCTATTGTGTTTGCATATATTAAAAGGCATATCAAGAGAATAAAAACAGGATTATAAGTGGAAGGAAAGTGAAAAAAAAAGATTATTTAGAAAATGGAATGAGAAAAATCAGGGGAAGTAGAGAGAGAAGATAAGACTACTAACATAGATATTCTAAAATTCTTGCTAATGTCTTGCCTTGCATTAATTCACTCTCAACTACACTTGCCCATGGATGCTAAAACATGATATTTTATTTGAAAATAATCTAATGTAGTAAAGTAAGTGATAACTTTAAAATGAGGAAAAGACATTTAGGAACACTGTACTAAATAGCTAAAAGTTATTTTTTTAATTATAGCCGATATTGAAATTCTACCATCCATTTTCAGTTCCCTTGAGTGATAACCATGATATTTAGGAGAGCTAGACCTAATTTTCAGATCCAGAGGAGGACTCTGATTGCTCTAAACCACTTGGAATAATCCCATTTCCTTGTCATAGTGATTGATACAGATTTAAGTCAATCAGAACGATACTTCCCTAGTTATATAAATTGGATCAGGGATAGTCCAATCAGCGTGAAGCCTGGAACTTTCATATGGTGGTTCTAAACACTGTCCTTGGCCTTTGCTCTGCCATTGGATATGAATGAGGACCCACCATAACTGCTGCTAGCAGTCATTTTATGAGGCCAGCCAAAGAACAAAGCCACCATTTTAGAGGCAGGCAATACTTAAAGAATTGCAGAAAAAATTATGCCCGGACTTAGACCACACCATGCCTGATGACATTCCGTAGATAATGTGGACTTGAGTATACGTGTGACCCTTAGGGTGTAAATGTCCGGGTACAAGCAGAAATTCCGGATAGTATTTCAGACTTTTGAGATCTCAGTCAAGACCTCCACAGAGTCAAGGGGGGCTCAGATAATATCTGAGTTCCAGATGAAACACAGAGAAAATTTCACTGAGGCAAATATATGAGATGAAGAAAGGGCGAAGCTAGAAAATAGGATGGCAGGGGAGGGCAGAGGGATCTACTGGGATGGAGGGTGGGGGAGGAACCCCTTTGTGACTCTCCTGTGCTCTGTGATGCAGGCAGGACTGTGGCCAATCACGGGCACCCTCAAGGCTGAGTTGCTTCAGGCAGCCCTGCTATTCCAACAATGGAGAATAGTCTGCTTTCTGAACAACCATACTGATCCATGGCTGAGCTTCAGCTCAGCTTTCTCTGATACTGAACCCAAATTCACCTTTCTGAGTGGTTTGGGGTTCTTTCTGTACCTGTGTTACCAACCCTCTGGAAAAATAAAGACATCCAAAAGGTAAGGAACACCCAAAAGGGATGCTTTGCGGTTGGTTCCCATTCTCACATCTCTAATTGAGTCTGGTTGGCTTAGAGAGTGATGGAACCTCACTCTTCTAGAGTAAGGGGTTGGACAGGGCAAAGGCGAGTAGGATGAAGTTTCCACCTTAGGTTCACAGGCTAACTGGGTGTGGTGGAGAGTTCCAGAATAAAAACCCCAAACGCGGTGATTCTGTGCTTCTGGATTGGCATATTTAGATATGGGTTCTCTAAATGAGAACAGTCTCTCCTGACACTTGATTGTCAGTTTCCATGTTAGGTGTCACTTGACCAAGCCTTCCTTCTTGGAGAGCAATATTGAGGGCTTCTGAGCTCTGTCTCCAGGATACAGGGTCCTCTGAGGGAGCAGGTGTGACTTCTAGCTTGATTTTTGGTGGACACAGACTTTTGATTCTGTGTCCCAGCCTCTCATTTTTTTCTTTTTGTTCTCCCATCAAGGCAGAGCCAAGAGGAGAAGGAAAGGTGGGATACTGAGAGGTAGGGTTATGCCTATTTGACCTGAGAGCTCCAAAAGGGAGCCTTCCTGTCCTTCCATGAGGCCCCAGGTCCATGACCTCTGAGGATGTCATTTGCTAGACACAGTCTTTCTGGGAAACAGAGCTCTCAGAGGAGGGCTCATGGGAAGGCAGTCAAACCTGAGACTTATGAGAGGCCCTGCTCTTCCCATCTGTGGGCATGAAGCAGTGATGGACCTGGGAAACGGGTGTCCCCCAATGGGTGGCCATGGGAGACAACAAGGAAGGACTACCAGTCAGCTTGGAGTCAGCACTTCTGTCTCCTGACTTTGTATTGGTACTTTGACTTCTTCAGTGCTAAGATTCCAGTTGAGGTAACCACTGATGTCTGTGCTTCATGTGGTGGTTTTGAGCAGCATGTGGGAGAATGTGTGTGAAAGTACTTTATAAATGAAAGCATATACACTTGTGAACCTTGTTAATATTATTGTTGGCCATTTGACCTTGTCTGCTGATCAGAGTTTAATATGCCAAGGGTCTCCTATAAAGGGACTCTTGTATGATTCCTGTGCTCCTGCCTTCTTTATATATATAATCTACTCTCCTGGTTTCCCAGGTTGGACAATTTGCCACAGAGAAGCAGAAGTGGGAAAGAAGCTGCTTTCTGCTCTGATAGGGTGATGAATCTTTCCCCTTCTTTCCTGGTACCTTCTGAAAAGCATGTTCTATGCAATTCAGGGATTCGATGCACCCTGCCATAGTCATGGGAGGGGGTGGCCATAGGAATGGGTTTGTGAGTGAAGGCCTTGGGGGAAGGCTAGAGAGTGTATAGTGAATTCGTGGGTGGGGGCAAGGTGGAAGTGGGTAGCAGGCTTCAAGTGGCCCCACCCTGGCTAGGCAAGCAGGCACCTCTTTCCTTGTTCTGGTCCTGGCTGCAGCTTTGTACTTCCTGTCTTCTGTAGCCCCCTGGGCCAGCACCATGACACCATCTACATTCGTCAGCCATCATGTCCAGACCCTGTCTTTGAGATGTGTAACAGAATAACTGCTGAAGACAAGCCACTGCAATCCCGGGAGTCCCTGGAAGATGCTGCTCCCTTGGTGTCCCTTTTCATTTCTACCATTTCCTTGAGAGAGTCATTCGCTCTGTCCTCCATGCTCTCAGCAAGCCCTCCAGAAGAATTAATTCCACCACCCCTGCCCGAGCCTTCTCCATCTCCACCTTCCATTTTCTTACCTGACCTGATGATCCCCTCACCTGATGTACCTCACCACTGGGTGACTCTCAGCCGGCAGAGCCTGTTCCTCCTTGGGATTCCAAGTTCCCAGTGAACCCTTCTCCACCCCAACCATTTTCCTTTTCCCCTCTCCCACCACATCACACTCAGGGATCAGACCCTGTTCTCCAACCAGAGGTTGCTTTCTCTCTGAACACCACCATGGCATTTGACCCCAGCCTTTACCAAGGCGTCAACCCCTTACCAAATTTATACCTCACCATGGATCCCACTGATGTCCATGCGCATCATCATGCACCGCCAACCCTCTTTGGTACCCCAGATGGCACTTTAGCTGTGATTCAATCTAAATCTATTTTCACCTTTTGAAGCTTGTTCTAGAGATGTTTTCTCCAGGTAGCACTGATGAATTGTCCACTTATGTCCCAACAATCAGAGACATTGACCCTCCAAGCCTTGTGGGTTCATAATTCTGGCGGCAGCAGCATCATGCCCAGGACTTGTTCCCCTCCAACTTGGCACCATGTGATTCCAAGCAAGGGCTTCTTACTACTCTTCTGAGGCTTCATTTTCAGGAGGCCCTGCATCTGTTTTCCTTTCCCTGCCCAACTATGATGTTCTGGCACTCTTGGAGAGACAGGTTAAAAAGGGGAGATTTCCTGATTTGGAAGAAAAAGAAAACGACATTTTTTCCCAAAGCAACTCAGGCCAGACTACCACCTAAATTCTTCAGGGAGAATGTTAGTACCGGTTGCCAATCAGCATGACTCAGCAGTTTCCCTTCTTTTTTCGGACCAGCAAAGGCAAACCAGAGGAGCAGCATGTGCATCAGCGGCCCCTATATTCTGAGACCTTTGAGGATGATTTGGAGCAAAAATATATCCAGGTCTTCTGGCATCACCTATCTCAGTATGGCGAGTCCCTGCACTCTGTCGTCCTTATCCCAGGTGTCTGTTCCTCAACATTTGTGTCCTTCAGTAGAATCCCAAATACTTTCATAGCCGAAGAATCCCCAGTACTTAACCATCCCTAACTTCTGTCCTTGCCTCAAACCTTTCCCTAATCTCAGTCCCTAACCCTCACTCAAGTCCAGTGTCAGGTGCAGTTTCAATCCCCAGTCCCAAACTTGTCACCTGGTCCTCTAGCCCAGATTAAGATCTGTGGAGTATGTTTACATAAACCCCAGAATGGGGCACGGTATCTTATGCCATCTGAAATTCACCACCTGGAATGGGATGTGTTGCAGAAAGAACAGGAAATGGTGTGGAGTTTATCCTCAGTGATCAAGAAATCTCAGGAAGACTTGTCCTTCAGTTTCCAACCTTATATTAGCCAATCATCCAAATTTTATGTTCCAGTCGCTATCCTTCCTAGAGATTTTTTCCTCAGCAGTGAGCTTCACAAGAAAATAGGGCACAACCTTCAAAGGAGGCTTGTCAAACAGTGATGAGGCTTGCCATGCTGCATCCTTGGGTCTCTGTCTCTGCTAAATCCTCAGAGAAAAATTCCTAAGACATCTGAGTCCATGTGCCGTCATACACTCTCATAGATTTCTTTGTTTCAAGGTCACAGCAGCAAAGAGCTAGAGAATTTTGGATTAAGTCAATCAAGAAGCTTGGAAAGGAGATGCATGGATTTGCTCCCAGTTAAGGATGCAAGAAAGAATCAGGGACTTAGCCTGGATAATGGCCTAAAAGATCATCTGTTGAGTGACCCAGAAAGATCCTCCGATCAGGGTCTGGGGCCTAACTCTGAAAGACCTAGAAAGTTACATGGTGAGTCTATTGGGGAATAATTCAAGGGCCTCAAGTGTGAGCCTAGGTCAGAAATAACTGGAACATGCCCAGACAATACAACTGAGCAAAAAATTTGAGAAAATGAATGAGCGTAAGATTTCTAGGACTGTGCGTAATTCATGGCATTCTATCAAACAGTACCTCTTCCTGAGAAATCCCACAGGCAAATAAAACATGAAAATGTGTCACAATTGTCTTGTGACCACTGCTGGAATACTTCCCAGGAAATTTTCTTTATTGGCTCCAGCAAGTAAGAGATCTTGGAGGCCCATAATAACAGTTTTCATATGAGCATGATGTGGGGATTTCCCCAAGGTCCATGAATCCATACAAATCTTTAACTTGAAAGAGATCTTATCCAACTTTTGTGTCATTTCCAATGCTGCCTTTTCAACCAACCTTATCTCTAGGGTAGATTAGAAAGGTAGGATCTACAAGCCCCTTAGAAGAAGCTTTAAGCTTTTTATGAACAAAATGTGGAGAAAACAATTTCTGAAGTGGGATCTCCATGTCCTAAGAAGCAGCTCTTTAGCTTCTCATGAAGTAAATGTGGGAACAACTAATTATGAAGATGGGATTGTCAAGCCTTCTAGGAGGAGCTGTATAACTTTTCATGAAGAAAATGTGGGAATGACAAATTCCGAAGGTGAAATTTCCAAGCCTTCTAGGAGGTGCTATATAGCTTTTGGGGAAGATGTGGGAAAAACAATTTCCAAAGGTGGGATCTCCGTGCCTGAAGAAGAAGCTCTGTAGCTTTTCTTGAAGAAAATCTGGGAACAACAAATTCCACTGGTGGGGTCTTCAGGCCGACAGAAGAAGCTTCTATAGCTTTTCATGAAGTAAATGTGGGAACAACAAACTCCAAAGATGGGATCTCCAAGCCTCCTAGAAGAGGCTCTGAAGTCTATCATGAAAGAAATGTGTGAAAAACAAATTCCAAAGGGGAGATCTCCAAGCGTCCTAGAAGAAACCTATAGAGCTTCATAAGTTTTCATGAAGAAAATGTGGGAACAACAAATTCTGAAGGTGTGATTACCAAGCCCCCGTAGAATAAGTTCTGTAGGTGTTCATGAAGAAAATGGAAGAACAAATTTGAAAGGTGAGAACTCCAAGGCCCCTAAAAGAAGTGCTAAAGCTTTTCATGAAGAAAATTTGGGAACAACAAATTTTGAAGGTGAGCTCTCTAAGCCCCCAGAAGAAACTCTGTGTCTTTTCATGAAGAAAACGTGGGAGGGAACAACAAATTCCCATGTTGGGATATCCAAGCACCCTAGGAAAAGCTCTAAAGCTTTTCATGAAGAAATCATGCTAAAAACAAATCCTGAAGTTTGGATCACCAAGCCCCTAGAAGAAGGTCTATTGATTTTTATGAAGACAATTTGCGAACAACAAATTTTGAACGTACCATCTCCAAGCCCCATGTTAGACAATGTATAGCTTTTTTTCTGAAGAAAGTATAACACTAACTTCTGACAGTGGGATTTTCAAGCCCCCTAAGAAGAAGCTCTATAGCTTTTCATGAAGAAAATGTGCAAACAAAAAATTCCAGAAGTGGGCTCTCCAAGCTGCCTAGTAGAATCTCTAACACTTTTCATGAAGAAAATATAGGAACAATAAATTCCAAAGGTGTGATCTTGAATTATACTAGAAGATCTAAAGATTTTCATTAAGAAAATGTACAAACAGCAAATTCCAAAGGTGGGCTCTCCATGTTCCCTAAAATAATCTCTGTAAGTGTCCATAAAGAAAGTGTGGGTACAAAAAATTTCAAAGGTAGCATTTTCAAGCCCACTAGAAGAAGCTCTGTAGCTATTCATGAGGAAAATGTGGGAATAAAAAATTCTGAAGGCGGTATCTCCAAGCCCCCTAGAAGCAGCTCTAAAGCTTTTCATGAAGAAAATGTGGGAGGGAACAACAAATTATGAAAATGGGATCTCTCAGCCCCGTAGAAGAAGCTCTAAAGCTTTTCAGTAAGAAAATATGTGAACAAACACTGCTGATGTGGGATCTCCTAGCCTTTTTGAAGAAACTATATAGCTTTTCATGAAGAAAATGCAGGAAGAACACATTCTGTTGCTGAGGTGGCCAGGCCTCCTAGAAGACACTAAAGAGCTTTTCTTGAAGAAAATGTGGGAACATAAAATTCCAAAGGTGGGATCTCCAGGCCCCCTAGAAGAAGTTCTAAAGGTTTTCCTGAAGAAAATATTGGAATAACAAATTCTGAAGGTGGGATCTCCAAGCCCACTGGTAGAAGCTTTGTACATTTTCATGAAGAAAATGTGCAAACTGCTAATTCTGAAGGTGGGACCTCCAAGCCTTCTAGAAGAACCTATAGCTTTTCATGAAAATGTGAGAACAAAAAGTTGTGAAGGTGAGATCTCCAAGCCCCCTAGAAGAAGATTTACATATTTTCAAGAAGAAAATGCAAGCAACAAATTCTGATATTGGGATGTCCTGGCACCCAGTAGAAGCTCTAAAACTTTTTGTGAAGAACAACAAATTCCCATGGTAAGATCTCCAAGCCTCCTAGGAGAAATCTTAAAGCTTGTCATGGAGGAAATGTATGAAAAGCAAATTTCAAATTTGAGACCTCCAAGCCTCTTAGAAGCTGCTCTATGGTTTTCATGAAAAAATCTGGGAAGAACAAATTCCAAAGGTAGGATCTCCAAGCTCCAAGAAGCCCTAAACCTTTTCTTTTTTTCTTTTCTTTCTTTTTTTTTTTTTTGAGTCAACGTTAGTGAGAACCTAAACCTTTTCATGAAGAAAATGTGGAAACAACATATTCCTATTGTAGGATTTCTGAGCCCACTAAAAAGTTTTATAGCTTTTGATAAAGGTTGAAACAACAAATTTCAAAAATGGGGCTTCCAAGCCTCCTAGAAGAATCTCTATAGCTTTTTATCGAGAAAATAGGGGAATAACAAATTCTGAAGGTGCGATCTCCAAGCCCTGTAAAAATAGCTCTATAGCTTTTCGTGAAGAAAATATGTAAGTAACAAAATCCAAATGTGGGATCTCCATGACTTCCAGAAACTGTATAGCTTTTCATGAAGATAATGTGGGAACAACAAATTCTGAAGGTGGCCTCTCCAATCTTCCAGAAGAAGCTGTAAAGCTTTTCATGAAGAAAATGTAGGAGCAACAAATGCCAAAGTTGGGACCTCCAAACCCACCAGAAGAAGATCTGTTGATTTCTGTGAAGAGAAAATGAGTGAACAACAAATTCCAAAGGTGGTATCTCCAAGCTCCCCAGAAGAAGAAGCATTAAAGCTTTTCATGAAGAAAGTGTGGGAACAACAGATTCCAAAGGTGGCATATCCAAGCCCCCTAGAAGCTTCTCATAAAAAAATAATGCAGGAACAACAAATTCCAAAATAGGATCTCCCAGCCGCCTTGAAGAAGCTCTATAGCTTTTCATAAAGAAAATGCGGGACCAACAAATTCCAAAGGTGACATATCCAAGCCCCCTAGAAGCTTTTCTCTAGCCCAGACAACAGAGTGAGACTCTGTCTCAAAAAAAAAAAAAAAAAAAAAATGCAGGAACAACAAATTCCAAAATGGGATCTCCCAGCTGCCTTGAAGAAGCTCTAGAGCTTTTCATGAAGAAAATATGGGAGCAACAAATTCCAAAGTTGTCATCTCCAAGCCTTCTGAAAGAAGCTCTAAATCTTTTCATGAACATAAGTTTGGAATAACAAATTCAGTTCTCAGACTTGATTATCCCCCTCTGCCTCCTCACCTATGGGCAAAGGTGGACAGTGAATCCTAATACAATCTCTCTCTGATACCACCCATGAATCTACAGGAAATGCCCAGACAATTGAGGAAGGCAGACTAACTTTTCTGCCTTCCCTCACAGATGCATAGACAAGACATTAGAGGAAATGCATGGGAGCAAATGTTCCCTAACCCTGTCACTGAAGGGACAGCCTCCTTCTGAAAATCATAAAGTGAGTGATTCGCTTTTGGCACTGGTTTTCTAAACCTAGAATAAAACACAAGGGGCAAGAAAATGCTTTGGAAAAGGACATCTCCCTATTGTGTCAAGAGTATTTCCCATCCATGCCCCACAGGGAGCCTGTGCCCCATCCAAGCCCCATCTGCAGGCATCAAGTTGGCCGGGTGTCTCTGGCCACTCCTACCACTGCTGAAAACACTGTGTCTCTATGATTTAGAAAATGCTTCCCATGCATTTCCAGAGAGGAAAATTCACTGCCCCCAAAATAATAATGATTCTCATTGAGAATCAATATATTCCTCAATAAATGTTCTAATAAAGGTGGTGTCTTTTCTGTGTGCTGTGTTGGGGCATAGGTTTTGGGTAATCTAGAGTTTGTGTTTACTAGGGAGAAGTAGAAGTTAGTTCAGCTCTTCCTGATTGCCTATTTTGCTTCCAAAAGTTGACCAGTCCACTAGAGCTCTTTTATTTCTTTTTTTTTTCTTTCAGCATATTATGGGGGTACAAATGTTAAGGTTACATATATTTCCCTTGCCCCCCTCCCCCTTGAGTCCATCAAGCGTGTCCATCCCCCAGATGGTGTGCATCACACTGATTATGTGTGTGTGTGTGTGTGTGTATATATATATATATCCATCCCCTCCTCCACCCTCCCACCTGCCCGTCCACTGGAGCTCTTGTTGAGGAATGGATATAATGTGCCCCCCAAACCTCCTTCCCTGCCTGATGAAGTTTGAGAAGATGGGCTATTTTTCCTACCTCTTAACTTTGCCGTAATGACCTTATATTGCAGCCCATACCTTCCCTCTCATTAGCTGTTTCATATCCTTTAGAGTAGTAAAGAAGATAGGTCTTCCATATCTCAAGAGAAGGTCAAAGATACACATATATTTAAGAAAATAGTGGCTTAACCATTTCTAAGGAAAAGTCAGTGACTAGAGGATCACACAGATCGGGGAGTGTTTGGGGTGTTATTGCTGCAGTTGATACTGCGCTGGTTGGGGGAAAGTCTTAGGAACAGAGTCGATGCTGCCTAAGGATCCATCATGTGGAGCATGCTCAGGTGTTGGGGAAACACACCTTGACCTGATAGTGTGGTTTCCTTACTGTAAAGTCACCTTGGGGAAGTGGTTCCCTTCCCTGGACATTTCTGTGGGTTGCCAGGATTGATGACATTTGCAGAGCAAAAGGATCACCTACCCGTCAATAGCAGGAATGTTGACCAGGCAGCCACTTACCTCCCAAGTAAAATAAATCTGAGACCAAGAGAAAGATGCCTTAGAGTGAATGGGAAAGTAAGAAAATAAAATGAAGATGGGAAAGAAGCTCTGGCTGGTGGACAAAGGTGTTCATGCCCCATTCCGCCCTGGTCATGCCCCTGTCCTCTCTACTTCCCAGTCTGATCAGGCACCACATCCTTGAGGCTGATCAGGGCACTGCAAACCTTACTGATGGCATTTAGCAGAAGTGTACCTGGGGCTGTTATTTGGGTACTAAAGCAACATCGACAGGGTTGTTGTCATGCATGGCAGCCCCCTCTTTAGGGAAGGTGACCTCAGTGCCTTCCATCTATACTTGATGATGACATGCAAGATCTTGCTCTTAGTCTGTACACATATTGGGATGGAGGGGCCACCTTTGATCTTCATGGGCTTGGAGGTATGGTAGATAGCCCCAGGATACCTGCAGCTGTGAGTCTTGGACTATGTATGTACCAGTTTACAGATATTTAGGGGCTCACCATGGACCTTTACAGAATATTTTTTGGGCAAGACTGGGCACCATTAAAACAGGGGTGTGGAGAGAAAGCAACTCCACTAGTACAGACTGGGACTGGACTAAAAAATGGGGTGAGTTTCCTAGAGAGTACTTGAAATAGTTTTTCAAGAAAAAAATTTGTGAATGCTGGGTGTCAAAAAAAATCAACAAAAAACAGATGTCCACTACAGCCTTCTTCCTCTCCTTCTATTTTACTGTCCAGAGTTAGGCCATTGATGCTGCAGTGTCTGAAGCTACAGTTGTGGAAAGAATCCAGAGCCTGGGGAGGCAGTGGGAAGGACAAAATGTGGGATGGGGCCAAGGGTGAGGAACTTGTAGAGGTGGAGAATCAGTGGAGGACCCCAACATCTGTGTGAATAGATGAGCCAATAACCTGGCCTTTCAATTCCTGTATCTTCCCACCTTAGGTCCTTTACCTCCATTCCAGCTCAGTTACTACCACATCTGAAACTTTTCATCAGGAACACCTCTGACATCTGTAATAATGCAGCTTGACATTCTACCCTTTGTCCTTATCCCTCTATTCCTCCAGCATGTGCCCTCAATTTGTCATTTTTTCAACTCCAGATCATTGTTTCTACTTATTTATCAATTCAAGTTCTTGTCTTCATTTCCTCCCTTGTCAAGGCAGATTTCATGGTCTATCAGGTAACCAATATTTTAAAAGCTCCACTTCAAATAGGCCTCAACCAGTCCGCTTTCCTTCTTCCTATTTGGAGAAATCTCATCTCTCTACCCTTTCCAGAAATGCTTTCCTCTAAGTGACTGATCACTATTGGATGAAATCTCACAAATCTACTGGTACTATGATAAAATTCATGGTCAACCCCAGTACTACTTAGAAATAATTCACTCTGTCATTCCAAAAATAATTGTTCAGTGCTTACTAACAGTAAACAAATAGAGCTTAGGTCACTTTTTAAAGTCTGCTCTCCCATCCATGCTACTCAAATCTATGTCAAAGTCAAATCTTCTGCACTTTGCTCAAACTTAGGCCATCCCCACTTGCTTAGCAGTTGTGCTGGACTCAACATTTCACAGAGGAACTAGAAGCCAATAGACAGGAATTTTTCACCAAAAACTTGAAAAATCTGTATCTCCCCTTTCTTTATTCCTGTTACAAAGAGATTTCTTTTTAAGGTTTCTATCCTCAAAGGAATTACACTTCCTGAAATGTCTTTACAGAGAGCTAAAATCTAGTCTTGATGGACTGACCCACCCTAGCCAGCTATCTTTATTGCCCCCTCCTCTCTTCTCATGAGGCACTCAACATCTTTTTTTTTTTTTTTTTGAGACAGAGTCTCGCTTTGTTGCCCAGGATAGAGTGAGTGCCGTGGCATCAGCCTGGCTCACAGCAACCTCAAACTCCTGGGCTCAAGCGATCCTGCTGCCTCAGCCTCCCGAGTAGCTGGGATTACAGGCATGCGCCACCATGCCCAGCTAATTTTTTCTATATATATTAGTTGGCCAATTAATTTCTTTCTATTTATAGTAGAGATGGGGTCTCACTCTTGCTCAGGCTGGTTTTGAACTCTTGACCTCGAGCAATCCACCCGCCTTGGCCTCCCAGAGTGCTAGGATTACAGGTGTGAGCCACCGCACCCAGCCAATTTTTAAAATCTTTTTATTACAAAAATTGTTAGACATGCACAAGAGCAGAGAGAACAATATAACTCCCCATATACCTACCTTTCATCTTTCCCAATTACCACACACGATGCACCCCACTTTTACACTACAATTAAAGTATAAAAGTCCATTTAAAAACTTTTGCCATCTATCACTTAGAAGATATGCTATGTACCCTCTTTCAGTGCTCTCATATTGCTTTGAAATGTATCACATGAGGATCAGACTTAATCACAACAGATGCACACGGCATCAGTGACTGAAACACATTTAGCTTTACGGGTTTGGGCAATCAGTTCTGCTTCGCCTTGTAGTTAACCCTGAGGAATTGTCTGCGTTTCTCCCTCCCCACTCCATACAAGCAGTAATCTTCACAGGACAAACTCAGTGCATAATATTGCAGTCCCTTAATCACAAAGTAAGCATAACATGAAAATAATACAGAAGTAGAAAAGTTCACATGTTGATAAATACTTAAGTTTATTATATAAATGCTTTCAAATATTTAAAAGAAAAAACATTTTTCTGTCAAATTTATTATTGTGTTTCCAATTAAATACAGTATATCAAACATACTTGTTTGTCTCCTTTCCTTCCCCAATGCCATTAAAAGGAAGGATTATATGAAAAGATGCTCAACATCATTAATCATCAGGGAAATACAAATCAAAACCACTATGAGATACTACTTAACACCCACTAGGATCGGTAGAATAAAAAGATAAGTGTTTGGGAGAATGTGGAGAAGTTGGAAGCTTCATACACTGCTGATGGGAATGTAAAATGGTGTGGCTGTTTTGGAAAACAGTCTGGCAGTTCCTCAGATGTTAAACAGTGTTGGCACATAACCCAGCAATTCCTCTCCTAGGTATATACCCGAGAGATAAACACATATCCACAGAAACTTGCACATAAATGTTCATAGCAGCATTATTCATAATAGTAAAAATGACCCAAATGTCCAACTGATGAATGGATAACAAAATGTGGTCTTATCCATACAATGGAATATTATTCAGCCATAAAAGAATAAAGTAATTCCTCTTTAACAGCAGAAGAAAAGAAAATTTTTGAAATATTTTTTTAAGAAAGTAAACTTTAAAAAAATTTTTTAATTA